CCAGGACCACACCCCTAAATGCATTGAAGCAACTGCCATGTGATTGGTTGATTAGATAATTGCATTAATGAGAAACTGAACAGGTGTTCCTAATAATCCTTTAGGTGAGTGTATATATGATGTTTTGGTCTCACCATGAAGTCTCATAGAGCCACAGGCTTAGCAGCAGAGTCCATATGCACCACCCTCTCTCATCCTTTTATTTGCAGGTAAGAAGGGTGGGTCTCACGGGGGGGGGGGGCGACAAGGGCCCCCCCCTTGGAGGGGGTGGTAAATTGTTGCAAATTTTGAGTGAAATTTGAGTGATCGTCTGTCGTGAAATGGGCAATCGGTAAAATTTGCCAACCGGGGGGGGCGGGTGTTGCCTTTGGTTAATTTTACAATGGTTCCCCCTGTCATGATGGGCCAGTGTCTGTCCCTGTTCTCGTTTTGATCCTCTGCAATCTGCTCCCCCACTGGGCATTCAACCCAGTTGTGAGGGGCGTTGATTGGAGGATGGCATCCCACACTGCCACCAGGCACCAGCAGAGCCAGGTTACGTCTTTTGGGATAGTTAGTGCTCACCCTATTCCAGGCCTTTGCAATTGAAGTCCTTGGAATCCTTAGGAAAATGTTTAGTTGGTTCATCATCTATTTAGGCAACATACTGATGTACTTCTTTTGATAGTGAATCCTGTGCATCTGGTACTAAAGCGAGTACCTGAGTACAAGCCATTTGTGAAATTATCGAAGTGCAAATATCATGTCACACAGTTTAATCCATTTGGTATAACCTGTACAGAGGAATCCTAAGAATGTCATCTACTACTTTGGCTGAGGTATTTCAAGGGTTCTAAAGTGAAAATCTGAAGAAACTAGAAACCTGGAGGAAATGCCCACAAAGAAAAACATGCACAGTCCAGACACAGAACCAGGGTCAACACTGAACCAACAACCCTGCAAAGTTTGATGTCGCAGTGCTACAAACTTATGAACCTGGTCACCCATAGAGTATTTCATAATTCTTTAATGCCTTTCTAAAAAAGGCCAGTTAAGGTGCAGAAGGAATGAGACAAAAACCTAGATGTAGAAGGTGAGCTGACATGTGGTATGACTGTTTAAGATAATCCAGAATTATGTTTATGTATGTCACACCAACCTGAACAGGAGCTGCTTCTTCCTGCTTGTGTTTGTGGAGATAATCATGCTCACACCCCCCCAGTAGCCCCATCCAAGACACGTGAGCACCATGCTTTGCTCCCGAAAGTAATCCAGGCATACAGACTAATCAGGCAGCACAGCAACTGAAAGACCTTCTCTGGAGAAGCCAGTCTATCTCTGTCAGGCCGGGCCAGCCTTCTGCCATCTTGTTTTTTTGTTTGAAGAAAAACGAGGCACGGCCGCCCTTGCTGGCCCACCGTCCCATAAGCTTAGTTCCACAGAGGTCCACTTCTCCAAGGACGGAATCCATGTTTTTTTAACTGGTTTATCTATACTACATGCAACATCTCACTACAAATGTCCACCTGAAGCAGGTGTTGCATGGTGACACACAAAAACCTCTGTGTGATCCTCACAGCCTTATCCAGAGCTTCTACCTGAGAGGGCTGTGTATAGACCACCCTCATGTTTGTGGGGATCACGGATTGGGGAAGCTACCTTCAGCAGGAAACTTACTCTCGGATTTCTGTCTTCCGCTCATGGACGGAGCCCCGACGAGCAGCCGACGAAGCAGGATCGTGGGACTCTACCATCTTACTCCCAAATGGCTCTGAGGGGACAATGAAGGCCCTGACTTTGATGAATCCAGTTTAGGGGGCCTCTAAGCAGAGGAGAGTCTTTGTTGCTGGAAAGGAAGGGCCCGAAGGCTGGCAGGCAGCACTGAGCGAGGCCTGTAAGGGGGAAGCGGAGCAGAAGAGAGGTCCTCTGCAGCACCCATTCTGGGCAAATTTAGGGTGGAGGCAACAGCACCACCTTTGATGCCCTCCACCCCCCCAGGTTGTTCACTAGCCAACCTCTCTGTTGTTCCAAATTTTTTTTTTATCCCCTGGACTAAGAGGGGTCTCTGTCAGCTCGTTTCACAGACAAAATCGATTTATGCGAGCAAATTTGTAGTTGGATTAGTTTTGGTCAATTTAAAATGTTTTATGTTTTACTTTTTTAAATAGTTCCTGTCTTTAAAACCCTCCCCCAAAGTCCAACCATTTGAGAAAAAGGATTTTCAGGCAAATTGATAGTGTTTGGAAGTCTGTGTAACTAACTTGGACAGCTAGGAAATTAAAAAATAAAAGCTGGCTTAGGATTTTTCTCTTTAAAAGTATGGATTTTTAAAAATAATTTTAAGTATCCGCACACATGAAGTGAACCATAGAGTTATTTCACGGTGTGCTTGCTAAAAGAGTACATTTCATTCCCCATAAACACATTCCTGCTCGACTTCATGGAGCTGCACTCTGAGTGGATGAGAAGCCCTTGAGTAGATACAAGCTCTCAACAAAGAAGAAAAACAGCTCTTTCTTGTACCACTTCCTGTTTTCCAGGGCATCCAAGGAGGGGATGCTGGGGGGGGGGGGTACGGCACCGGGCTTACACTCCCGAAGGAAGCTGTCACATGGAAGCCAAGCAACCTGGTGCTAACTGGTACAAAAGGCAGCTCTGACAATGGCCCAGGAAGAATGGCCCAACCAGGCTGCCAAGAAAGTGCCCACTCATTGAAGGGAAATGCTTTAGGGCTTGGGGAGTGGAGTGAGGACCCTGCCACGCTGGCTGCGGGCCGGCCCACGTCCAGAACACATCAGCAGACTGGCCCACTCCCCCAGGCCTGGCCGGAATCCGTGGCCCACCGACCTGACACACCAACCATCTGACCCCTACGGAAAAAAAATCACAACCCTAGCCAGTGTTCTGTGATAGGACCCCCTCTCCGCAACGAGGGAATGCTGTGTTCCCTCAAAGAAAATTATTTGTTGCCGGAAAAGGCAAGAGTTCTTCGCGTGGGGGCCATCGCTGCATAGCAACAGGACTGTGGAGGCGCAGTGAGCCTTGTGGGTTTCCTCTTAAGGAGGGTTAGGTGTCGGGTTATTTACTGCCCTACTCCTTCCTGGAGAAAAGCACAGAAAAAGAAACCTCAGTTATTCCGCATGTAGAGCCCTTAAAACTGTACAGTTCAGACGCCTCCATTAATCTGCAGAAGGAATCTGCTGTAGACCCATTTTGTACCTCCTCCTGCAAAAACGGGCTGGGTGTTTGGACATCTAGGGGGTTTATTTCAGATAAATTCAGGAGGTTAAATGGTTTTAAAATATGAATGGACTTTAAGCTCTGGCAGTGCTATTCTATCTTGTGATGTATTTCTACCACACAACAGATGAAAAACCACTAGTGTTGAAGCTGCTGAATCCTAACAGCCACATCTGCATTTACAAGCTCTGACGGGTTTGATTCCAAACACCAAAACATTTACGAAATTGACCCTTAATGAATTTTAAATGATCTAAAATTACTTTAATTACATAATAGTGGTAAAATGCTCAATGGACAGTTAGCATTTTCCACTGGTGCATTTTCTGTATGCAGTGTGGTGAGACTGACCCAAACCCTATTCCCGAAAGAGGGGGATGCAGCACTAGTTACAATCTGCTTGGGACGCCAGGTCAGTCTTATAAAACATTAAATGGGAAATAACCCACTGCAATAAAAGCTGAGTCTCCTTGTTTGTATGCAAATAAGAACTGAAATTGTGAATTAAACAGGAACAGAACTAACGTTCATACAACAGATGCTGCGCCTCGAGCGCCATCTAGTGGTTTTAAACCAAAAAAATGCAGTTGATAGTTTTACACCATTCATACCATAGCGCTGTAAAGTAACACAAACACATCGATATTCAGACTTATTTAATAATATATCCTTCCTGCTGAATTAAACGTTGTTATTAAATTTTGTACTTTTGTTTCTGAATGAAAAATATTATCATTTAAAAACAAATTATTCTTCCTGATTTAAAGTGTTCTCTTTTAAAATTTAATGAATGGTCATGCTGTTTACATACGTTGGGGGGCTCAGAGGGGCAAACAGCCCTGTGTCCTCCACTCTAGGAGAAGGGTCGGGCTGCAGACATCCACTGAGACTCACGTCCACGGACACGCAGGAAGTCCACTGAGGAGCCGGAAATGACGTCACTGTAGTTCCACCGAAGCGCGCATACCGTTTGGTGGATTCCAAGACAATACTTTACTCACGAGCGGTGGCAGCGCGTCCATTGTTTAATTGCTGTTTCTGTGGTGTTGACCATGACATTGGCGAAGGAAAGTAGAATGGTAAATACAGGTTTGAATTTGTTCAGTTGTTAGATCTTCAGGAAGGATGGGAACTTCTTTGTTTACTATGTTTAGAAGTGGAATGGTTTTTGTTCGTTGTGTTTAGAAGTGTTGGAATGGTTTTTTGTTCGCTATTGTTTGGCTGCTATAAAACACAGTTCGTCCTTAGGTTGTTACTACTTTCAGTTAAAAGCTTGACTTATTTTCATGTGCGGATTACTCTGATCAGTTGAATGGTGTTTTCATGCCGCTCAAATGCATATATACAGTAAGTGTAAGTTAGCCTGACTCAAATCGCTGTGTTGCTGATTTGCATTCAAATAATCTCCCTCCTTCAAAAGCCCATAAATGCATACACAATCGTTTTCATGGTGTTTTGTTTTTTGACCAACAGATGCACAGGTCAATTTGGCGAATACCATGCCTCAGTTAGCAAGATGTGCTAACTGTTGCAATCGTTTCCATTGCCTTATGTGCCCAGTAACGATGTTTAAACCGACAACGTACTACGTGCTCAAATGCATGTAGAGTCACACGCAAAGAACGGAATTTCATTCCAAGGTATGTCATCTGTAGAAATTCTTCAACGCTGTAGAATGTTGCAGAGTTATCCATATGAAGAAATGTGTCCTTTCAAACATTCTGAATGCATGGTTTTTGTCTTTTTGTATTCAGTCTGACATGCCAAAGATAAGGAAATGGAGGTGCCTAACTGATGAACAGTGGTCTGGAAAAGTATGTATGTAAAGCATTGTGTTTTACATTGAGATGCATTCAGATGCAGAATCAAGTGCACTTTCTTTGCAGTGAAGGAGGTTTCTGTCAGATATAGAATACCAGGTGAAGCCCAGCAGCGAGGCTGAATATTATTTTTTTTGTTATTTTTAGGGTGATATTCCATTAATTCGTCAGTGGTACTAGTGCATTCAGCTAATGGAGAGGTTTTGCATATACGGGTATTAATGACACCATTGATGATACACCATTGACGATACACTACCAAGACTTTATGTTTCAATATTTCAATGTTGTATTACTCAGACATGGACAGAGGTTTGCCTTTTGGACTGAGGAAGCTTCACACCTGCTGAAAGCGAACTTGGAGCTTGGAGCCTCTCCGGCTGTTCTCAGACCTGGTGGGCAAGCTGTAACTGACTGCTCTACAAAGTGTAATAGTGGGGGTTTCCTTTTGACTACCAGCTGCAACTGATTAACTTATTCGATCCCTGATATTCACTTCCAGTGTCATAGGAGTCGCGCATCATGAGGGACCTCTGCAGTGCCGTGTGCTGGATTCACAAGAATCACTCCCTCTTCCATGGAAAGGTGACAGAAGCTGCCGTTCTCCAGATGGAGGCTGAGGATCAACAGGAAGCATTCAGGGAGGTTATATTTATTTTTCATAATAGGGAGGACATGGAAACCTTCATCTCTAATTGTGTTGACGGGATGGGTCTTAAACTTCATGCCATGTTTGCGTAATACGAATTGTTTTCCATCCATCCACCATCTCCCGCTTTATCCGAGGTCGGGTCGCAGGGGCAGCAGTCTCACCAGGGAAACCCAGACTTCCCTCTTCCCTCGAATTGTTTTCCTCATTCTTTTATTCTGTTCATTATACTGCTTTTTTGCACATTCGTTCTAATTTAATTATACATTGATACGCTACCTACAAATAAAATGTTGTTTGCCAAATTATGTATAGTGATTTATTTATGTAGGAAATACATTATCTTAGAATAACAGAAGTATGTGGAGAAAAGGTCTGAGAGAAGCATAATTTTGCAGCCTTTAAGGCTTCAATATAATACTGTGAGGGGAAAAAAAATCTGGTCACTATTGACAGTCACAATCAGGACTACAGCTGATAAGTACACAATATTTAATTATATTAAATTTTATTTATAATTAAGAATTGCATTACTTGTAAACTGAAATCAACTGAAGCAGCACTGTTAAGAAGAGTGGGCCAGAATTCCTCCATGATGATGTGACAGACTGATAAAGTCATACAGAAATATGATTATTTCAAGTTATTGCTGCTAAAGATGGTTCTACAATCATAGGATGTGCTTAGTTTCTCACACATGGCTTCTTCATTTTGGCTTCCTTTTTGTTAAATAAATAATGACACTGTGGAATCTGTTGTGTGTTGTTTTACACCTGAGGGTAGATTTAAATAATTATAGAACCTGGTAAGGACCAGATGTCTTTTCTGTTGTGTGCTAATACATAAAACCATGGAAATGAAAGAGCGTGTACCTTCTTTTTCACGTGAGTGTATAATGTATTATTATTATTGATTAGATTATAGGTTATAACATTTTAACCAAAATTATGTGAATGGTTTGGAGTGGACATTTGACCTTGTGTTTTGTTATTAAATAAAGTCAGCAGAGGGATCCATAGAGTCTGGCTGCAGATATATATGTATATGTAGAATATATGTATTATTCATAGATGTGCACCCATAAATTGAGAAATTAATTAAACTAAAAAATTTGCTGTGGTCACTTAATATTTTTCCAGAGCTGTATTTTAGACAAATATTAACCTGAAATTCTACCATCTCCTTCATCATAAGGTAAGGAGCTGGCTGATACAGAGCATTGCTGCACCCACCACATGACAAACCACCTCAGGAAGGAGAATCTGAGTGCAGCCATGTGGCAGGTGATACCACAGCACCACACCAGTCCAAATGGACCAGTGTGAGGTTTTTTCCAGTGGCTGGAGTGCCAATCCTGCCACCAACCCCCAAGTTTTTCCCAGTAAGCTGGAGGACCTCCTTATAGGACTGGATGTACATTAAAGTCATACACAGGATGAAGCAGTTGCAGGTTAAGGGCCCAATGGAGTAGAATCACTCTGGGCATTCACGGGATTTGAACCTACAACCTTCCAGTTACTGGCACAGATCCCTAGCCTCAGAGCCACCACTCCATCCACATTCAACTAAAAAATGAAGCTCTGGAAGCCCAGTCAGCTAAGGGGCATGGTGTCACTGTACTGAACGTGTTCACCTCTGGATCCTGTGGGACCGTCATGGAAACATCCAAAATATTCCCGAAGTCCCCTCCTAACCACAGCAACATAAATAACACCATCACTTCAGTTAGCATCTCCGGGCTCATTTTTTGATTGGTGAATATAATAACGTAAAATAGCCCAAAAAATAATATAGCTTAACCAATCCCATTTTATATTCATCGTTTTATTACAACTAAAAGCTTAAATTGACAACATAGACATTTTAATACATTTATTTATATGATTTATTAAATATTACAGTTACATTTCTAGTACAAAGCCTACGTAAGACAGTTCAATAACATTAATAAGTTAATTGGATATTTATGAAGTGAACTAATTTTTCTGTTGAGTTATATGCACAGTTCAGTACTGAATGCTGTCATATGACTGAGCCAGTGGCAGGTGCTGTTTGAACATATCAGGGTTGGCAGCAGTCACCCGTAAGTGCGGCTGTTGATTGAAGATGTCTCAAGGATACGTTTGAGATGTTCCTCAAACGGCAACAATCACTAATCAGAGCCTAATACCCCTGAAAGACACATGACGGCAACAGCAGCCAATCAGACTCTAACATACCTGAAGGTCACACGGTTGACACAATAGCCTATCATATCTAGTCATGCCTGGAGGTCATGTGCACCTCTCCATTAGCTGTCCTTGCTGTTCTTCTTGCTGATTACATTAACCCATGACAAGGGGTTTGTATAATTTACAGGGAACCTTGACAACACTGGAAACAATTAAAAATGCTCCCGTGGATGACAGGGCAACTGTTTAGTGTCCTAGCAATTTACGGGCTGACATCCAAATCACCCTGAATTTGTGCCACTGCGCAGACCAGCTAACAATTGGACGCGTGCTTATCAGAAAGTTCCAAGGCAGCCAAGCCAGACGCAGACACAGTGCTGGGGACGGTATCTGTGCAGCTTCCACACATCTTTGTGTTTGTCCATAAGTAAGAATCTGAAAGCCTGCTCTAACAAAGTGTGACAGATTGTGGTCCTGTTTAAGCCCGAAGAGACGATCGATCCAAAGACCAGAAACGTTTAAGTGCCTTGGCTATTTGCCCCTGGCTTACAAATCAAAGATAGGGAATAAAGATAAATACATTATTCCAGACAATGCTTAAAACAGACGTAATATGCAGCAGACTGTGTCATAGTACTGTGAGAAATATGGATGCAAGACACATATAAAAGGTTAGATCTGGGAGGAATTCACAGTGAATGCAATTATCCTGATCTTTCTAATACCTAATTAATTCCTGATTGGAACTTGATTTCACCCATCACAAATGGGACTGCAGTACAGAACACAAATACTACTTGTACTGTGTATTGTAATATTATAAATGTATCTTTATTGTTCATGGGTGTCGCCACCATTAAATCTGAGGGGGACATGTCCCCCTCACATTTCATAATTATTCGTTTGGAACCCCCCCCCCTCCACATTTAACATAAAATATTAGTTCACCCAGCGCTGTTTCTATTGCTTCACAAAAGAATCCATTCCACTTGATGGATATCAGAATACACATAACACTGAAAGACCACTCCAGGTTTTCCGGGTAACCGACAACAGCTCACCACACGCAGGTGAAGTGAATCGTCAGTGCAGCCCATAGACAGTAAAGATGCAGGCTGCTGGATACTGGAGGAGGTAAGGTCAGCCCCATGGCCGTCGCACGATGTCTCTAAAATAGTCATTGAATTAAGTCACTTTTGCAGGTAAAATTAAGTGTTTAAAAACCTGTTAAAAATACACCAGAATGCAGGAAATGGCATCTAATTCATTAAAAAAATTCTGGGGGAGGGTTCCCCCCCGCCAGTGTGCCCCCCCACATTCAAAATGTTTCTGATGCCCCTGTTATTGTTAGTTGTTGATTATTTGTTTCTTTATGTGGTTTTTCTTTTATTGCTCATTGCATTTTGTTTTGTTTGTGAGCATGGAAATCTCTGTGTGGTGACTTTCTACTTTAAAACAGTACTGTTATACCCACCTATTTGGCAAGATTATTAAAAAATAAACCTGTTAAATTTATTTTTCAGAAGTCCTCCCGATGTTCTTAGGTGGAAAGTTGCATTGATTCATTATTATTTATATTCTTTGTGGAGGTACAAGCATAGAATAATGTAGTGTAAGGAACTTAATATGCGTTAATAAAGGCTGATTAGACGGATGCTTTCATGTGCAGGAAGAATTTCCATATGAGGATGAGGCTAGAATAATTTGACAAACGATTTGTCAGGCAAAACGTTGAAGACATAAGGGCACAAAATAGAGGCAGAAAGATACTCTTTGCATTGCAAGTCAGACTGGTTTCGTCAACACAGAAAGCTGACATTTGTTGACAATGACCGCAAGCAACAGTGATAAGCAGTTTAATGTTTTTTTTTCCCTTTTTTATATTTTTGATATCTTTGTATTTTGAATTGATTGTGCATTTGGACAATTTTACTTACATACTTTTATCTTTTTGTCAAATATGTGTGGTTAATTTAGCATCACTTTTGGTGTTCTTTTATGGAACACTAGAAACTGTGATAACCTAGAATGGACTGCATTCAAACGAATTATGCACTAGGAGCTGGTGAAGAGGTACTACACCTTCACTGGTATTACACACTCACTGGTACTACACACTCACTGGTACTACACCTTCACTGGTACTACACCTTCACTGGTACTACACACTCACTGGTACTACACCTTCACTGGTACTACACACTAACTGGTATTACACACTCAATGGTACTACACCTTCACTGGTACTACACATTCACTGGTATTACACCTTCACTGGTACTACACCTTCACTGGTATTACACACTCACTGGTATTACACACTCACTGGTACTACACCTTCACTGGTATTACACACTCACTGGTATTACAAACACCAAACTGACAACTGGTTGTCAGGAAATAGCGAAACTCGATTGGCTGATACTGCACCGGTTGGAAATTATGATTTAAGGCTGACAGGCACTGAGACAAGAAGTAGTGGAAAATAAAACATATATTTCAGTTACTGAAATGTGAATAGTTGTTTGGCTCCAGACCCCTGCAACCGGGCAACAAGCAGGTATGGAAAATGAATCGATGTATGGCTATTCATCCTACCTGAAGTGCAGCCCTGTCTTCTTCCCTGTGCTGCCTATGATGGGGTCCAGATCCTCACCAGGATAAGCAGTTGAAAGTCTGATGGGTAAATAGTCTTATGAGCTGGGTAGCAGCTGGGGAGGCATCACTGCAGGCTCACACCCCCTGGCAGTCAGAATGTTTGCAGCTTGTATGTTCTTTCTGTACTTCCTGTCGGTACTCAGATTTCTACCTGCAATTCACAGATGTGCACTTTGGTTAACTGGCATCTCGAAATTGCCCGTTGCGTGCGTGTTGATGGACCGGCGTCACATCCAGGCTGTAGCCCTGCCCTATGTCCAGTTCTGACCCTGTCCAGTGGCTGCAAAATGGATGCATGGATGAAAAAGTATATGGTGGTCACAAGATAGGTCAAACGACTGGCTAAGTTAAAAATTGCTGCACTTTCTTCTAGTAAAAGATTTTCCAAATGTTTGTGGGGAAAAAAACTTAGCTAGTGAAGCATTACTTTGTGATTTAAGAGCTATTTTTAAACACATCATCTTGAGACAGGACGGGACATACATTGCTTATCTTGGCACTGGGCATATTAGGTTACCAGCACTATTGCGTATTCCAGTATTGGCCTGTCCAGTAAAGGTCATTCATGGGTCACTGGCCCACCTGACAAAGGTCAAGACTAACTGGCAAGACGCATGCATCCATCACCTCTGAAAGGAGAGTGACTTTAACGGGTCCTGTTATGCTTGGAAAAATTTGAGCAAATTATTGCATCACAAATATTTCCAAATTAAACAATCTATATCTGATCTAGGCCTATATGTTGTCATATCAATTATTCAGATTTTTACATCATTTACGTCACATTTTACTTTCAATAATGGATTTTTATATTTTACCGATCTTTAACTTTTGGTGGCTTATATATGTTTGCATTATTTGATTCTGTTCCCAGCTCGTACAAGTTCTGACGTGTGCCTGTCCCTTAGATCACCAGGTGATGCTGAGGTTAGCTTCGCGTAAGATGAACCTTTTCCCAGCCAGACCGGGCACAGGGCGAAGTGCGTCACCATCTCGGGGCGGAGTTTCGGATCCCGGAGTGGAAATACCCCTCGGCCGCCGCGGAGCTGTCAGACCGAAAGCGGACTCGGCGGAGAATCGCGCAGTCACAGTTTATCACGCAAAGAAAAGGCGCTTGTCATTTACAGCAGATTTCTTCTACCAGCTTTTACGCTTAGATACTTGGAATGACGGACGCAATACTACCGGACGAGGATAATCGGGCTATTGAAAATGGCTATTTTAAAAAGGTAAGCGTGGACGGGCAATTGAGGGAAGTTTGACGCCGGATATTACTGTTGGCATTAGTAAGAGAATCGACCACAAAATCCCGAAAGTATCTTTTATGTGGTTGAAATAACTGCTTTTTATCTGCGTGAACGAGAAAAGCGGTGCTCAGATGGAAAAATTCCGAAATTGCAGTGACTGGCTTATAGTAGCTTATTTACTGTATATTTATATATTTTCGTTATGCATTTGAATCTGTTGTGTGTGGTTTGTAAAATCAGCTTTTAAACTTGCAGAAGTTCCGGCTACAGTCAGTCGCAGTGGATGTTTAAAGGGGGGGCACAAAGGACGGGGCTTAGGGCGGCGCAGGCTTTGCTCGTGTGCCGTCTGTGCCTCAGGTTGTTCCTTCATAAGAACTAGGCTCACCAGGTTAAATCTGGTCCCCAAGGCTTCAAACTGCGTAACACGCGGGGACATGGACAGCTGGGCTATTCGATCAGCGCGTTTCTTCAGTGTGTTTATTAATTACTAAATGGAGTCAGCTGGTCAGACACAAGAACCGTGATTTTAAAAAAAAAACAAAAAAAACAGCTCGTCCTAAAAAGGACGCTGTGATTCATCTAAGTTTAGCAAACCTAGAAAAAAAGTTTCAGAATTCGTGTTTATCAAAGCGATTTTTATGTAAAACGTATATTTACAGAAATTGCTTGTTTGCTGTTTTTCTTTTCAAAGTACATAAATCTAGTATTATGATAATATAGTAGGCCTACAATTGTTCGATCGCCTATACATAAACCTGCAGAAAAAAATTGGTTAGGGTTAGTGTTAGAGCCTGAAAATCGTCTTCGAATATTAATAATTTCATTATTCACAGCCAGGGATTACGGGGATACAATCTTTGTTTACGAGGGGTTGTCATGGAGGTGAGGGTGAAGAAGAAGAGATGGTGTGGATTTATTGCCTGTTCCTGAAGCACAGCATGGCGAGGTCGGCACAGGGATCTTCTGCTGTTTACGCGTCTATTTAGTTTAAAGGCTTCCTTTAGTAATTCTGTCTGAACGTATTTAGCCGAAAGTGCTGCGGCCGGGGGGGGGAATGAAACTCAGACGGCACCTTGATGCTGTTCTCTGAGCCCCCAAAGTTAGACGTGAAGTATCCTCGGAATGCCGTACCCTGAGCTAAAGGGCGGCCAGCAGTGCCGCGCTGAGAGTGACAGCTGCAGGTATGAGATCCACATTCCTCAGAGCCGACAGTGAACTCAGCACAAAAATCAAAGAACTGGCGTCAGTGTTCAACGACCAGTCTAACACAGTGACGTAAAGCTTATTAAAGCTTATCATTATAGAAAAATGTAGTTGATGTATTTATACGAACTAATAAATTATATAAACCTCATGGTTATTTTCCTTGAAGCTATGATCTAATCCGACTTGGATGTAGAAGAAAATGTTTGAAATTCATATGGAACAACAAAGATGGTAATCTCTCGTGTGTCGTGGGGTTATCACCTGTGTATGGGTGAAATAAAGCGGCCAAACCAGCACTGTGGCATATTTCTATGTTGACTGTGTTTTGAAGGACTCTGAAAAGGGCCCTTTGTTCCAGTAAGTTTCTACTTTTTAAGCAAACTGTGTCTGCCACTGTCGACCCCGCACTTCCAGTTCCTGCACACTTAGTACATGTATAACATTAGATCTAGTAGGGGGCTTGGGGGCCTTTATCAAATACTCAGTAATTCGTTGCAGAGACACCCAGTGTGTGTGTCTGTATAATATATTTGTTCTTTTTTTCACAAGGAGTTGGGAAATAAGAGGTTTTGGGGGCAGGAATCATTCTCCATTTGGAGGATTTTCCATCAGCAGCTGTCCTGGCCATTTTGCGTCTGGAGGGGCCCCCTCCTCTGGATGCCCCACGCTGCACTTGGACCAGCCCCCCTGTGACCTGAGCCCCTCCCCCCTCCCTGTCTTCCTCGCCCTTGGTCTTGACCTGCCAGCAGCCCTTGCGAGCGCCCGTTGGCCCCACGGTCTGCCCTGGCCCAGGCTGCAGTCGAGGCCTGACATTGACGTAGGAGCTACTAGAGCTCTTCCAGAACCAGGCCGCAAAAACAAATTGACAACATGTGCGTCAGTTTGGAGTCTGGAAGCGGCAAGGCTTCCACCCGCTGGAAATGTGGTCAGATATTTGACCGAGATACAGGGAATGGCAGAAGCAGCTTTGGCCGAATCGGCACAATGGCTAAAGCGCGCTGAGTAACTGGCTTGTTAATTGCAAGTCATTAGTACTGCTCCTTTGTTTTCAGCTGCATACATACCTTTGTGCAGTGTTTTGTGGGCAGAGAAAAGGGTAACAAGTCTCCTCCCCTGAGTTCCACCCTGACGTTTCTTGTGCTCAGTAGTGCATTCCTGCTCAGTTATGTGTAAAATGAATGTCCTTTGAGGTCCTAAGCAGTTGTCACTGTGGTGGCCTCTGATCATAGTTGGCATCCTTCTGGGGGTAATTGGTCTGTCCCAGTGAGCCCTGTGGCCCCCATAAGTTGCCCCATGCTAACAAAGGCACTGGGGGATGGCAGGATGTTGGGACCAGGGATCAATCTGGAGGAAGACCAGTTAGGGTTTCTCTAGGGCTGTGATTCCCAATCTGGTCCTTGAAGATCCAGTCCACATTTTTGCTCCTTCTGGGACCTGGGGGGGAGCAAAAAAGTGGACCATCTATGGATCCCAGATTGGGAAACGCACTGCTCTAGGGTGATGATCAGAAGACCTAATTAAGCCCCCCCCCCCAAAATCTTTGGTCTATGTATAGGGGCAGCACAGAATGACCCAGAGGTGTTAGGCTAGCCGTGCTTTGACCAGAGCTAACATAACTAGAAGTGATGCTGGATTGAGGTTGCTGCCATTGTTGCTGACGTCACGTTAGACTGACAGGCCTTCCAGGGAGGGGAGATCTGTGCATGTGAGGACGGGTCACATGAGTCCGCCATGTTAGCTGTTTATCCCTCATGAGATCAGGACAGATCCCTCTCACTCCACCTTCCACATCCGCTGCCTTTGTAGTCTTCACTCAGTACAGAATCTGGTATCGCGGATTCGCTCTGGTGAAATTCTGTCACAATCGTATCTCCCAACATATCTCGCCCAGTTATGGTGACATGGGACCTGCCCCATGGTGTCTGTAGCTGGTCGACGTGGACGGTGTCATTGGCCCTGTCACCTTGGATGCTTTGGGAACAGCAAGGTGTCAGATTGCATTTGCAAAGGCCTGGGGGGTGGAATGGGGGTGGAGAACCGAAACTCTCCCTGCTTCTGGAATAACGCTTTTGCTTTGGTGCAGCTCTCAGAGATCACTGGTTCTCTGTTGGGGTTTCGCCACTGATCCGCCATTCTCTCGTCTCTGCAGGGCTGCAACCCCTTTGCCCAGACGGGCCGAAGCAAGCTGCAGAACAGGAGGGCTTCGCTCAACCAGCAGATCATTAAGCAGATGAGGATGAGGGCTGGTGCTGAGAATCTCCTCCGGTACGTTCTCACATGCACGCATACAGGTGGACAGTCTGGCAATGACTGGGGCATAAACCTGCTTCTCCAGACCTGAAACAAGTTACCTGGCCAATGGATTAGTCTACTAACACTCAAACCCCATGTCTCCAGGATGGGGAGTCGCCCCCCCCCCCTCCTTGAAATGATGTCATTGTTGTTGTGGATTCATAGACACCTTAACTTATTTACGGCCATACAAACGCAGATGAGCTGATGACCCTTTTATCTGGTGAGACGGGTGGATTGTATAAGTTACATCTCACTGTGATGCAAGCAGTTTGGTAAAACCAGGGGATTCCGGAGCCTCGCAGTGAAATGACCTCATGCAGGTGTAAGTGGGCTTGACCTTGCCAGTTATTTTGCTGGTTTAATTGCTGGTTTGTTTCGTTTTTTTTTTTTTATATCTTTCATGTATAATATTTCTACAAGAAATCAGTAACAGAAACAGATGGACACATTCAAAGATGTCAGTACAATGAAAACCAGAAGTGTTGGGGGGGGGGGGGGGAGGATTAAGGCCTTGTGGCACACACACTGTGAGTGTTGTTCGAGGGGTTATGGGGGAGTGCCTGGGAGTATATTTGAGCTGGGAGGGCTTACTGTGCGATCACTGTGACAGGATTCTGCCTTGTTCCTTGAACATTGGGGACAGTCCAGACTGGCCATTATAACTGGCCTTACCAGGACTGAAAAGAGTGCTTTCTTTTGCTTCAGCTCCCAGGACTGACACCAGGGCAGCTAATTCATGGTCATGGTGACACCGAGTTGGGCCCGGGGAGCCGAAAGCTGGCGTGGCACAGGTTTCATGGGAACATCCCTTGGGATGGAATGTGGGGAGGGTCGAGACCTGCTTTGTCTGCAATTGACAGCCAGTAGATCATTCTTCAGGAGCCATCTGTGGTTGACAGGAACAGTGTGGGCGTGTACCCAGGCACGAAAGTGACAAGGTTGAACAAGACAGTGACATCATGGTTCATGCATGCAAACAGGTCAAACTACAGTACTGCCTGCCTCAGAAAACCTAGAGGCAGTATGGGGGAGGGGGGTAGGGTTCGACAGAAGAGGTTATTTGGAAACAAACAAGGCTTTTTGCGTATTCTGTCATTTGCTAAAGATTATACTCTAAATAACGTTCACCAACCAATTGAACCTTCCGGTACAGCCAAAAGTTTACCACAAAGGGCCTCCGTTGAAGCATCAGCTCCCAGTTCATGGGTTTTCGTAGACGTCAGCTCCCAGTGCTGTGCCGTATTTCTGCTAGGAATCCTTAATGTAGGATTACAGCCCTTTGCTTTGCTTGTTTCCCAAGCAGCAGGGACGATAAACATTGGTCATTCTGACCAGGCTTATCAGGCACAGCCGTGTTTAGCGATTCCGGTCTCCTAGGAGACGCCACACGCCCCGTTCCCTCCTCGCCCGCCGGGTGCCCGTCACATTGACGTCAGGCCTGGCGCTATCAGCGGGAGGAGCCTGTGGTTAGATGGCCCCCTCCTCCCCAGGAGCAGGATCTCGGGCACGCCCGCTTTTGATGTTAAGCAACCGTGTTGGAGTTCAGGATGGAGTGTGGAATGTGCGTCAGCATCCCCCAGACGGACGGGGGCCGAGGGCAGGGGGCGGCGGGAAAGCCACGCCAAACACCCACTACCATGACACTCGGGGCACCGCCAATGGCACTCCTAGTCCCTCCCGTCCGCATTGTGACACTTCGTCACCATGAAGTAGCTTGTAAAATTTTAATGCCATCAGTTACTGGCGCAGTTCCACAGGCGTAACCCATAAAAGAGCACCGTCCTCTGCCAACAATGCATTATTATTATTATTATTGTTATTTTATTACATCTAATATTACGTTTAAGCCAATGCTTGTTCACAAAGCTCAGTCGTCCTTTGTCTAGTGCGTGTGCCTGACTCCATTGTGTATTTTCTGCTCTCTTAGACAGTTTATTTAAGTGAAGAGTCTGACCTGTGGTCAGTTTGTGCCCAGCCTTGCTGTCTGCTGCAACCCTGCACTGTGCTCTTCATTTGAGGTTTGGGGAGCTTCTGACACCCACCTACACATTCACCCTGTTGATGTCAATGAATGTCTTAACGAATGTCGTAGGTTTTCAGATCCTAACCCCAGACTCCCTTCCTCCTCGCATGTGTCCCTCTTCTGCAGATCGGGGCGCGGCTTTGCACGGGGTCACAGGGTCAGAACCGTGCCCTAGACCATGACCAGCTCTGTCATGGCCAGTTCTCGCTTGTGGCTAATTTTGCTTAAAGTTCATTCAGTTTCCTTGTGTTCACTGCCTGGTCAGGCGGTTCCATTGTGGCATACTTAAGGTGATTTCCATAACATGCCGTTAACCTAACTGCTTGTTCATGGCTCTGTGCAGTTAAATGCATTGCCGATGGCAAATAATGCCCAACCAGTAACAGTCCACAAAACCTAGTTTTACCTTTAATGCCTAAGCGTGGGCTCATTTTACAGGAATTCGTGGCTTATTAATTTTTCTGGAAGGCAGAGCTTTTGAAGTGCTTCTCTCCCAGCGCTGCAGTCCCAGCGTGCTCTTATCCACCTCTGAGTAAGTGTGCCTGACCCACAGCAGCAGCACCTGTCAGACTTCAAAGCCCCTCTGCATTCCTCTCTCAGCCCAGACCCTAGTGCATGCTGGGAAAGGGGCCATCTTGCTCCAACCAAATATAAAACAGTCCAGTATATATTATATTAATTTAAATAAAGCAGGACATGTAAATGGGCTTGGGGGGAAGTGCTCCTGTGAGGGCAAACAGTATCTGTTTGCCAACCTCGCCGTAGCGATACAGAAGTGTTGTCGATAGGCGGAGGATGGACCTCCCCCCACGTGAGCTTCTTGTTTGTTCTGTGATTGTGCTGTGAGACTCCTGCCGTGGAACAGTCCAGAAGCAGATGAATAACAGGTGACCTTGTTACTCTGCAGTGGCGACGGTCCTCCAGTAACCCCCCCCCCCACGTGAATTCAGGTGCGTTCTGAACTTCACATTCCTCTCCAAGCATTCCCCGCCACAGAGCCAAACAGGTTTGTTAAAGGAAGATACTCTGAGCACTGATCATAATTGTACTTGCAGTGGTTTTTTTTTTTTTAAAACCATACCACACTGACTTTTGTCCCTTTCCCTCGCTGATGGCGCTGTGTTTACCAGAGAGCCTAAACCCTCTAACGTTATCATAAAGGTCCTGTCATACACAATAAGGCGGCCTAAAGCAGAATGCGAGTTATAGAAAATGACACAGCTCATGGTGCACTAATTATTCACTCAAAGATGTGAGTATAATATGTGTATGTGTGCCAAACGAGAGGAACTCACCGCCACAAAGCAGACATTCGAGGAGTTAAATGCACCTTCCTTCAGCTGCCGTATTCTTAGAGAGGGACTGATGTCTTGTCAAAGATCATCCTGCTCTCCCTGACTCAAGGAATCTGGCAAACGAAGGGCCCGTTTTGCCACCGCCCCCCCCCCCCCCATTTTTTAGCCCACCCCCCCGCCACCGCCCAGTGACGGAGCTTTGCACTCTTTATGTCTTTGAGTCACTGCTGGAGTGTCATGTTGTGCAAGTTCACTGAGGCGACTCGCTCGTAAATTCGCCTGCTAATGTACCGTTGTCATCGTGACACTGAAGGACGTCCGCCTTTCCAGGTGCGGCCCCTTAAGTCTTCTGTCTCATGTAAAGCTTTCTCGGTCCACACCCTGGTGTCTTTAATTTTCTCATTCGCTAAATGTTTACTTGACGGTCTGCTCTCCCACAAACTTTAGTTTGTTTTGGGTGCTATAATCTGATTGGCTCCCATTCGGCTAATGTCATGCCTGCTCTTTTTTTGTTTTATCTTTAAACCCTTTTCTGGCCTTTTTGTTTGGGCCCAGTTCTCGGGTAGCAGCATAGCAGAAGCTGAAACTGGAAATGTTTCGATTTGGCAGTATTGTGCATGGAAGCAGCTCACGTTCTGCTAAAAGGGAATCGCCTCCGACTGCCAAGGCCCAGCTGATCAAACCCTTCGGCATGTTTGGATCCTGGCGCCTGTTCAGGAGTTGGTGAAAATGCCATTACCTGTGGCCTTTCCCTGCTGGCATGGTCATCTGTACTTACATGGAAGAAGCATTTCACAAGACGTTCAGTAGATTAAGATCAATGTTAAGATGAACTTTCTTGATCCCAGTGGGAAGCGTCCGACAGCAAGTGTATGCACAGATGAACACTCTTGTGGTCCAAAACTAACAGAACCATGTAGTGCAAAGTAAAAAGAGTGCAAACAATTGTGAAAAAGGAATATTGTGATACTATAGAAATTACATATCGCAGAATAATGAATTACAATAGGAGTTTACCAGAGTACATCTGAAAAATGGCAAATTGTTAAATGATGGGGAAGATTTTAGGCTGAGCTCTTTCTGTTTGGATGAGTAATGGGCTCATGGCTACACAGCAGGGACCCCCCCCCCATTCTGTGGCACCCAGAAGCTGGTGTGTGACTTGCCAGCATCCATGGTGATTTACTCGTGGCCATAACTGGAAATTAGCGGGAGAACATTTTAAAACGAATTTGAGGAAGCACTTCTTTACACAGTGTGTAGTTAGAGTATGGAATAGTCTTCCTGCTAGTGTAGCAGAAGCTAAAACCCTGGGTTCCTTTAAATCAGAGATAGATAAGATTTTAGCAACTCTGAGCTATTAAAGTTCTCCCCAAATGAGCTTGATGGGCCGAATGGCCTCCTCTCGTTCGTAAATTTCTTATGTTCTTATGGTGTCACCTGTACAGCGTCCTGAACGGAGACACTTACCCAGTTTCCTCTGAGCAGACGTGTTTCCAGTAAGAAAGGCAGACGTGTCTCAGGGTGGACTCTCAGGCGTGGTCGGGACCCTGAGTTTCTCACCCTGTGTTAAGTGCTGTGTGGTCAGCAGTAAATAGAGGAGCAGTTGACAGAATGATGTAGGCCCCTGCAGGAACTAATGAAGCATGCCGTAAATATTAACCCTGTTTTCCATCATCAGTTGTAAGAGCTGGCCGGCTGGCTGACCTATATGGTGAATGCGGTTGCATGCCTGCATGGAAAATACCGTTCAACAACACGATTAATCACGAGACCGACTCTTCTCCTTGTTTAACCTGCTATCTGTGTTTTGCCTCACGTGCCTTTTTTGATTTACCATTTTTTTTTCAATACCTCCTCACTCACACTGGATCTCTTTTCTGGTTTCCAGGGCGACCTCCAACAACAAGGTGCGCGAAATGGTGGTCCTGGAGCTGAGCTACGTGAATTCCAACCTGCAGCTGCTCAGCGAGGAGTTGGAGGGCCTAAACAGCTCTGTGGAAGTCTACCAGAATGTCCAGTAAGTGTACAAAACTGGCCTTTCGACATACATCATCACCTGGACACCCTCTGAACCGGAGATGGAATTTCGGAGCGGTCTACCTTTGCATATAGAACCAGTTGCACAAGACATAAATGCTCTGGGGTAAAATAACATAACACCTTTGGTCTTCTTTTGGAAATGATGAAAGGATTAGTTCCTTCTACCCTTTTAAAGAAAGTCTGCTTTCAGGAAGTAGACATGCCTCGGTGAGAAGAGAAGTGTCACTAACAGTCCCATCTGAGTTTGGTAAACAGAAATAATAATAGAGAAGAAGGAAGTTCCTTAAAATGAGGTGGTATGGCCCATGGTTCCCCCATGGTTAATAGGAATTCTTGTTAACTTTCGCCGGAATTTTAGAGGTGACCACCAGCATAGTAAGTGCGTTTGAGGGTGAGTGACAGGCTTTGCATGGAGGGCATTAGACTGACAGCTAAGCTGTGGCATGCAGCAGAAAGCAGAGAAGAGGAAATGCCAGGTAGGTCACTCATCATGCGTGATGATGCTCTCAAGTTGCGTGTGACAGGACTTTTTCAAAGGCAGCCCAGGACCTAAACTGGGCTGCTGGGTTTATACCACCCTGACTGTGTTCTCTCATGAGGGTGGTTCTTGGTTCTTAGAACCTCCATTTTTCTGAGCCCAACTCGACATCATGCCCTTGTCACTGAAAATGAATGGGGACTTTTGACTTGGTTATACCTTCTGAAGTCAGCGAAAATGTCTTACTCCCCTTCTGGCTGTTGCAACAAATGTTCCTCAGCAAGTCTATTGTGGAAGAAATCCATAAGAAATCAATGGATGACTTCTAGCTAAGGAGAGAAACTTTCGATTTGTTTTCCCCATCTAGCACAATACTTTCACAGAATTTTTTTTCTCCCTCTCATATATCACTCCAGGTCTTGTGATCAAAACAACTGTTTTATATTCCAGATGTTGACTGTAATGAAAGATGGAACTAAACCTGATATGTAATCTAGATATAATAACAAACTACTTCGTAAGTTATAAAGTGCGAACCATGAGCCGCCTTCGTCATACTGGGTCACCCACCCTGAAGTTAAAGGTTGCTGTGCAGCACTGTTTTATACGTAGAGAGTTGGCTGCATGGCTGAAACGTTAACCCTGTCCTATCTTGTAAATTGTTAGCAGGATTCCGTTTATCTTTTGGTCACTGTGGTAGGGTGAAGTGTTTGGGTGGATAGATATCAAACTCTAAACTTTTGAGGAAACTGCTACAGCCAGGTGATTATATCTACTTCCACCTGAAAATGTTCTGTATCTGAGTGTAAAGCCTTCATCGCAGTGCAGTGGGTGACAGTGTTTTATAAGGGAGGTGTGACTGCTCTCCCCACTGTGCAGTACATAGCTGTACTTCACTCTGGAATTTGGTCAGATGACTGATTAATAATGTGGCCACATGTAATGTGACCACATTCATAATATTTACAATGTTTGACATTGATGGACAAATGGATCAGAAGGTTGACTTGTATTTTGTTGCCGGTTCTCATTCTTTTCCTCGTATATAAAAGGGCTGTTTGTTTAGGGTGGAAACCACAGTTGGCCCGTTGTTTGCTCAGTCTGAGGTGTAACATTTCTCTAGTTAATCCATGGACACTTAAACTTGGGTTTCTCTCTGACCTTAAATTGTGGGTATAGAATCAATGTGCTCACCTCCCCAACAAAAGCTACAGGAAAAAAAATGGATCAGAAATGCTGACAGCAAAACATACAGGTTTTACAGTCATGATGCTGTAATGTTAATTACATCAGTTCAGTTTTACCCACACATCTCTGCTTGGTCTCTCACGTTATTCCCCTTCTTTCCGTTTCTGCGTGCAGAGAGTCGACCAGCATCCCCCTGATCCCTCTAGGCCTGAAGGAGACCAAGGAAGTGGACTTCTCTGTGCCATTCAAGGTATGTCATCCGGAAGGGAAGCTGTCCTAGACCTCTGGTCGGCCCCCTGGCTACAGCGTTGAGCAAACGCGCAAAGATCCATGCTTATCACTGACACTCATGAACGCACCACACTGACCAAGCATAGATATGCCGTGGTTTCTGGGGTGGAGGGTCAAGCCAAATATGATTGTGAAAAGCTACAACATGCTGATTCAGGTCTGTAGCTGGTGTGTCATTTTGAGGACTCTTCTGCTCAACGCCTCCAAACATATTTAGGAGCGTCCATCGTAAGATTACAGTAAACAGAGCATGGTGCACCAGAGGTTCCCGTAGACTCTATTATTGCTTAATAGGGTTTCACCTGCCCTTCCTCCGCCATAGGACTTCATCCAACAACATTACAGTGAAGATGGCTCCAATTTTGAGGATGAGATTGCTGACCTTATGGACCTGAGACAGGTGAAGGGCCTACATCCCTTACCATGGACTTCAGTGCGTTACAGGCTTATTGCGTTTTACTCACGGTTCTCCATATGTGTCCAGGCATGTCGTACACCAAGTCGCAGCGAGGCTGGCATTGAGCTGCTCTCCACCTACTTTAGCCACCTGTCCCTTCTTGACAGCCGATTCTTCTCCCACACCGGCCAAATGGGAATCTTCTTTACATGGTAATGACATGCTTGTCCGCATGGTACGACACGAGCCATTCCAGTCCCTTGTCAAGCCCCCCTAACCTGCTGCATGTGCCCTGTCAGGTATGACTCCTTCACCGGGGTTCCTGCATGCCAGCAGAACATCTCCCTAGAGAAGGCCAGCCTTCTCTTCAACATGGGCGCCCTCTACACGCAGATCGCCACACGCTGCAACCGCCAGACCACCTCTGGGCTGGAGGAGGCCATTGCCGCCTTCCAGAAATCAGCAGGTGGGTGGGCAGGGAGATCACATGTGCACCATCTCCATGCTCATAAATCAGACACTAAAAGTTGTGACCAGCGGATGTCCTCATAATAGCTAGTAACTACTTGTTATAAACTGGAAATGTAGGTTTTTGTCTAAGTACACAGCCCTCATACCCATGGGTGGCTGTTTGCAGAGAAGCTGGAGTAAACGTTTAATAGTTAATTCAGTGTGAGCATATTATACACAAACACCTGTTTGGTTCTTAGGGTTTGGCAGAGCTGTTTAATAACAGCTAGCAGTTGGTGTGTTTCATACTAACATCATGACCTGGCCTTATTGAATCAACTGCCAGTCATCCAACTGCACGAGCTTCCTCGTGTCACCATTTCAAATTCCCCAGAATCTTTTCTGGTGACACCGTCAGAGTTGACAGCATTGTTAATATGGTTCCTGGACTGAAACTGAATTTGGTTTGCTTGAAAAACGTGTTAAAAAAACAAAGGCACAAAAGAAATTGTTACTGAAGTCATTAACCTTCAATAGACCAAACAACATTCTTTTTTTTTTTTTTGAATGGGAATGTTTTCAGATGTTTTTTTATATTATAATTCCAAAAACGAGTTTCTTTGACTAAAATAAAATCCTCTACATGCTTATCCTGCAGAAGCTGTAGTACAGATCTAGTCAGGCAGAAATTTTACAATGGTATATCTATAGAAGACATCACATTTCTCAGAACCAGAATATATATCAATTTGTGTTCCATCGCTGCCTTTTGCAGTCCTAGTTACACTTGGATCTTGTAGAAGATCTGCAAACTCATGACAGTGTAGAAATAGGTGGATGTGAGTTTGCAGACAGTGAGTCTGGTGGCCAAGAGGGTGGAGACTCATCAGGACAGCAGGTCCCGCTGTAGGGCTCCCTGTCGTCATATTATCCATTAAGGACTTGATCATGTGTATCAAAGAAACACTGAAAGTACAATGGACAGGTGCAACTGAGGGTTCTACCATTATTATGTGTGTGTGTGTGTGTGTGTGTGTGTGTGTGTGTGTGTACCATGATACTCATGGTGTGTGCAACTGCCACAGGGGTGCTAAACTACCTGAAAGAGACGTTCACGCACACGCCCAGTTACGATATGAGCCCCGCCATGCTGAGCATGCTGGTCCGGATGATGTTGGCGCAGGTCCAAGAGTGCCTAAACGAGAAGACGGTCTTGCCTGGTATTCGCAATGAGTTCTTCTGCCTGGTCCGGATGGCTCAGGAGGCCGAGAAGGTGAGACTCACCAGAACCATGGAAATTGACAAAACTTGGGAGTTTGGGATCAGCATGTATTTGTTGCGTGGATCCAGGGGTGGATTTAACAACACTGAGTTTTTATGTGTTCTGAACGCAGCAGTAAAAGCTGTTAATAAAGCAGTTTGGTCAACTTGTGAGGTTGTTTGTGGTAAAGGGTTTACAGCTTCATTTTTACAAAGATTATAATTGAACTTGATGGTTTCCACGTTGAAGCCAGGATGGGTGTAACATTGGCTGGTGGTGTTTTAAACATCCTCAGGTTGCCCATACATATGAGCAGGCTCACCAGTCCATGATCCAGCAGCCCATCAAAGACAACGTCCCTTTCTTCTGGTCCACCATGGCGCGTGTGAAAACCACACACTACCGTTCCCTGGCCCACTACTTTGTGGCCACGGCTCTTCTCGACCACCAGTGTGAGTACTCTTCCTGTTCTTTCTTACACCTTGTATGGGCACCCGGCCATTGCAGAAGTTCCTTTGCTGCTGGGACAGTAGTTTGTATCTGGGGGGAGGCATTGGGTGGCACCGTTCACTCCTAAAATTTGATTGCCACCCCTGGGTGCTCCCATATTCTCATTGACTTTGAGTGATGTCAACCACAAGAACATAGTTTTCACATATTGCACAGGTGTGCCGCAACTATAATATCAGTAGTTCCTAGAATTACATATTAATGATCTGTGGCAGGCTTGGTAGTTCATGGATATGGGTGGATCAGTTAATGTTAATGCAGCAACAAGTGTCTAGCTAATGAGAACCATCACAGGCAAATCGAAGTCATGGAATTGTTCCATAAGATCTGTGCACCGCCTTTCCTTTAGTTTATACAAATAAAGAAGCCCAAGTGAGCAGTATTGTTGCAAGTAATTGCTTGCCTTTCATCATCTCTGTGGAATTACGCTAGAGATACATTCATAAGCTTTTCATTGTTCTGCTATTGAAAAATGTATATGAAGGGATGACTTTCAATTAAGACTTTAAGTAAGAATCTGACCTCAAAAACAACATGAGTGCTTTAGTCACGGAGTTCATTAGGCTGTTTAGTAACCAGTGCAGAAACTGCAGAATATTGTTTGAAGTCGACTGCTGACTTGTGCAGCATGCATATTAACAAAGAGTGCCGAGTGCATTAGAAAATAATATTGAGGCCATGTTTATTTAAATAATAGGAGAAATCAGCAGAATATTAATTGCTATAACGTTTCTGGATAAAGAACACGGCATTATATCCATGGTTATTGTATAATTTGAGAAAATATGGTGTCTCATTTTGTGTCCTTGTTGAAAGTCAGTGACAGCCCTAATTTTAACTTTGAATGCTTCCCTCCCCATTTTACTATTGTGCCCCTGTGCCCCTCCCCTGAAAAAAATTTGGAGCCACCCATTTCCCCACTTAATTAAATGAAGCCTTAAGCGTGTCCCTGAGGATATCACAGTTAAGGAAGAAAAAAAAACAATTTAATTGGCCAGGGAGCAGGGATGGAGCTTGGTGACACAGACGAGCGTGTGTGACGGCAGCAGGGTCCCCACGTCACTCCCAAGGCGCTGGAGAGCAAGGCCTCATTCTCTGTAGTTCTCTTCAAACTGGGACGCCATGGTGAATTCTGAGATACGGTTTATCTTTCTTCAAAAGGGACATTAGATATCAGCCAGTGTCGGCTTCCCTGTGAGGTTTGTAGCGAAGGGACACTGAAGTAGCGCCTGAAGACGCGTCACGGTCAAACAACTCCAGTTACGTAATGCTGTTATTGTAGCTCAAACAAACCAGCCTCTCTCTCTTTTTCTCTGCAATAAAAGTGACCTCAGTAGGGAGTTCCTGCACGTTCCGGCACAGTAGCACAGTATCACACTTCTGGTCTGGTTTTCTGTCACTGGAGAAAAATGAGCTCAGAGTTGCTTTGAGCACTGCCTGTGTAGGTATGGACATCAGGGCTCCCAACAGAGAGGACATTACCCATAAGCCTCAGTGCAGTCCAATAACGGCACTGATGTGTCTGTGCAGTAGGGCCCAGGGATGATGAGGACAAGCAGGAGAAGGCCCTGGCTCAGCTGTACGACAGCATTCCCAGTGGGAATTCTCCTGCATACATCCTCAAGAACAAGGAGGAACGTCGGCGCATCGGTGAGAGGCTGCGACATTTCCTCCGGGCCTTTTAGCGTCACGTGCTGGGAGGCTCAGGCCAGTTCTCCTGGGCGTCACTTGTTTTTCTGAAGGAAGTTTGTGGCCTCTGTCCAGGGAAGGCACACCTGCGCAGGGCCATCCTGGCCCAGGAGGAAGCCATACGCTGTCAAAGCCTGTGCCGCCACCTGCGCAAACTGGACGTGCTGCGGGACATCCTGCAGGCTGCGCATCAGCGCTCACTGGCCAAGTTCACGGAGAACGACGCCGAGGATGAGTTCACGGACCACATGGACGCGCCCGACATCGTCCGTAAGAGCCCTGATCTCAGTGTGTGCCCAGAATAAATGTTTAATAACCAGGTAGATTAAAATGCAACATCTGTCTGCACAAACCCCCACCATCAAGGTGCACTCACATATTATTAATGCAGTTTATGACTCTTGTAAGGGGAATGTTTTTACATTTAACATGAGGTTTGGAGATTTGTCTGGGGGCAATATTTTTATTATTATTGTTATTTTTTTTTTACTTCACAGCTAAAACTGAGCACAAAGCTGAAATGGAAATGCCAGCATCCACAAAGGTGAAAGTCAAAGACTTTTTCCACAAGCTGGTATGTGGGTCACTAATTCTCGTAAATAACCTTCCTTTTCATCACACAGAGAGCCAGCACCTTGTTCAGAAACTGCGCAGTGCCGCCTGCGCAGTGCCGCCTGTGCAGTGCTGCCTGCGCAGTTTATGAACATTTCCGGTCGGATCTGGCTTTACTAACATCATTAATCTGAAAGAAAAACAAATGGGATGAGAGGGACAATTACAAAGTGACTCAGCATAAGAATGACAAATGACATTCCTATGATATGAGCAGATTGTCCTTCCTGTTCTGTTTACCTTCTCAGATTTTAATTGGCTTTCCTCTAAATCAAAGCAATAGTTCAGGTCTTTCACTGCTGTTTGGTTGTTCTGGGATCAAGAGTGAAATGGGTGCCTGATGCTTGTTGAAAATTGTCGACTGGCCACTCCAGTCCTTGGGAGCTCTAGGTATCTGCTTTTGTCTTTACGTGAAACAAAACTGAAACCTCTCAAATATTCCCTCAAAGATGGGGGTGGGGGCAGCTCACTCCAAAAAGAGGGGCCTGGTTACCTCTGTAAACACCTGTCCTCCTCTGTTTCTCTGTTATGTGTTAACAGTATCCCTTCAGTTGCTCCCAAATGGTTGGAAAAGTAGTTGAAAGTCCTGGGATTAAAAAAATAAATAAAAAAAAAATCAACTTTTTTTTTTTTTTACTTTGAGAAAGGATGAGATGTGATGAAGGCTAGGCTAGGATTAAAAATCGGCCCTGGACTTTGGGATTCCTCATGGCAAATTTTGTCAAGTGGGTATATTTTGCTGGTGGGTGTTTTACATACACAAAAATGTTCTGAGGGCAAAATTAAAAATGATTGGTTCAGAGAGAGAACCAAGCAGATGTCTTGGTCCTGCCTCCTATTATTGCTTGGACCCATCTTCTCTAGATTCTGATTGGTTATCTCTCTGAACCAATCATTTTTGTGTAACTAAAACTCTCATGAACGTATATTTTGCTGGCCTACATACCCTTGGCCCATTGGGAAAATGCCCAGTACACCAGTTCACATTCAGGGCTGGTCTGGCGATCCTGTGGAATCTCCCCAATAGCCGGTGATTAGAATGTGGTGAAGTGTCCATCTTGTGGTGAGCAAAAGGAAAGCAGTGGCTAAAGCGACAGGCTAGCCTGGGATTTCTCAGCCTGTCCTCGAGTGAAACAGCAGGATGAGAAAGCTGCCGTCTGCATGACTGAAGGACCCCTGAACTGGACAGTAATGCAGGGCTAAAATTAGACTCATGAGTAATATGACTATGAATACTTTTGCATGCCAAAAATTGGTCCCGTTCCTAAGTGTCTTACAGCGGCTGGTAGTGGCACCTGGCTGGAAGTTGGGGTCAGGTTTTCCCATCATTATGACACAGAGACCCCCCCCCATCTGGGCCACCGGTTTTGCATTAATGACTGTTACGATTCCGCTTCCCAGGGCCCCCTCTCCATGTTTTCAGCCAAGCAGCGCTGGACGGCACCACGCACAATCCGGCTGCACACCGAGGACCACGACCTGGGCTTCACACTTAAGGGTGATGGGCCCACACAGGTCCAGTGCCTGGATCCGCTCTGCCCTGCTGCGGTGAGTGCCCCCCCCCCACCCCCCGACCCCTATGCCAGCGGCCGGTGGAACAAGGAAGGTTCTAGATTTGCAAAATAAACTGATGCTGGACTTGTGCCAAAGAGCAAAGTCCATTTTTAGCAAAGCAGGCCTTTGGGAAAAACGCCCCAGCCATGTTAAAGAAGTATATATTACAAAAGAATTCTGAGTGCCTTTAAATTGGTCTCTGCTAAACTGCTGAAGAATAATGTAAACACATTTCTCATGGTCCTTGTAGAGAAGAAGCTCTGTTTCTCTATTCAGGAACCACTGTTCATAAGTTTTTTGCATGAAAGTAGATAGCACAACCCACTCCACCAGTTTTGTAGCTACATTTAGAGTTTGAGGGGAAAAATGTTAGCGGCGCCGTGGGAGTTTCACCCTCCAGTGACGGCGCTTGGTGCTTCATCAGTGCGCGCAGCTTCTTTCAGCGGTCGAATACCCATTTCCTGACATCCTCCGGTACAATTATGCATGTGAAAGTTTCACTGAGACCTGCCTTTTTGCACGAATACTCATTAATAGGCAGGAACAAAGACCAGACCCTAATTAAAACCACCAGGCTGCTTTTAAAAAGGGATTTCGGAGATTATATGAAGGCTGCTTCCAAGCTCGATCACTATGAGTGAATTTTCTTATGTGATATGGGTCTTATTTTAAGAGGCCTTTGTTCCTTTCGGAAATCTGTTGCTGAAAACGGAGAATGGTTAAGCACTCATAATAGTTCCCACAGCTTCTGTAGGATAATACTTCTGTTGTTACTTTACAAATACTTGCAAATGGTCTCTTAAAAGCTCGTTGTTTAGAGTAAATAAGGACAGTCTCTTTTGATCAATCTTTAGACCTTAATTTCAAAATGGTGAGAATTAGTATGGTTAGCATGGCGTAGTGGTTTGCACTGTTGAGGCACACCTTTGGGACCAGGGTTCGAGCCTCGGCCCTCACTCCATGTGTGTGGAGTTTGCATGTTCTCCCTGTGTCATCATGGGCCTTCCTCCGGGTTCTCCAGTTTCCCCCCCACAGTCCAAAAAAACATACTAAGATGAGCTAGAGTTGCTGAATTGTCCGTAGGTGTGAGTGGTGCGTCAGCCTGTGATGGGTCGCTGCCCCATCCTGGGTTATTCCCTCATAGGTGTGAGTGGTGCATCAGCCTGTGATGGGTTCGCTGCCCCATCCTGGGTTATTCCCTGCCTTATGCCTGTAGCTTCCAGAGTCTCAGACCTGCCTTTGCTTCCGGCAACCTGTCGCCTTTGGTTCTGGCAACCTGTCGCCTTCAGAACTTTATTCAAGATGTTCATATGAAAGCTGACCTGCTTAAAACGCTCCTCACTTTCAGTTTTTAAACCCATGCTGCACTTTGTTAGGGGACGGTGCTAATTTTTAGAAATAGCCATGCTGAATTTCCCTGTAGTGGTGAGAGTTGGAAAAATGGCACCCAGCTGAGTGATGGTGGTGGGGGTGAGAGCAGCCTGGGCTGATTTGAGCCGTCCGTGTTTGCAGAAAGAGGGACTGAAAGAAGGTGACTACATCGTCACCGTCAAGGACACAGACTGCAAGTGGCTGGGTGTGGGTGAGGTGATGAAGCTCCTGAAGGACGTGGACGAAGAGGGCGTGGACATCCAAGTAGTCAGCATGATGGACAGTGGGCTGCCTATGGTGAGTCCCGCCTCCCTCTCTCTCACCTGGCACATCCCCCCTATGAATCCGCTCTTTGTTTTCCACATATTTGTTAGCCAAAACCCCACATAAAGATCAGATTCCTGTGATTGTCAATTGTCATCTTCACATAGCAACCACCGGCCCTCCTATCCCTGAAGAAAGTCACAGAGAAATGTTTGTTCTCATTCTTTTAAACTTTCCCTTCTCCATTCAAACCATTCTTTCTCAGGTACACTCTGGAGCATCTGAAATGTAATATAGCATTCTGTTCATGCTAAATACCTTGCAGGCATTATCCTTCAAGTCTGTTTTTCAAAGTCTCTGTTTCATTGGCTAGGAAAAGAATATACCTTAAACAGAGATGTACATGGTGCAGTATCAGAGTCAGGAGAAATGGTTCAACAAAGACTTTTCCAGCCAACACTACAAGGTTGTAACAGAATATTATTTCTCTAGGCTGGGACACCTACTGGTGAAACAAGTAGTATATTTATATTTATGTATGTATATTTATGAGCTTTCTGACACCGTACACTGTTTGTGGTACATGGCGGCATGCCTTTTACAGTAAGACTGATGCATGATTCAATATGGTATGTTAAAAGGATACAAGAAGCCTCCTCCGTTTGTGGACATTGTCCATATCTGACTCCGTTCTGCTTCCTCCCATGCAGTCCGCCAAGAGCGCCACCTACTGCGGTGGGATCCCCAAGACCTACTCCATGATCTGCCTGGCCTTCGACGAGGACGATAAGATATCCAAAGCACGCAAGGTCACCAAGAAGCCATCCTTTCTTAGCTGGGGCCTGAAGAACAAGCAGAAGAGTGCCAGCACGCTCAGCCTGCCCACCGCTGACTACCCCGGCACACTGCCCTGGGGCAAGCAGCGGGCCACCTTCCCCAGCTCCAACAACGGCGCCCTCTACTAGGTCAGCTCTGGGATTGTGCCTTCCTGATTGGCTGATCCTTCCAAATGCAATTACATTGAAATAAAGGGGGGGGGGACACCAAACAAGAATATATATATATATACACACACACACACACGTGCGCATTTTATATATATATATATATATATAAAAGGACAAAAAAAAACCTTGCACACATTTTCTTGGTGTAGGAACGTCGGTGATAAGCTAACCCTTTTGTTTAAAAACGCCGGTTCCAGCCCTGACTGCTTCGCTGGTTGAGAGATGGTTAGGTTTATGTTGCTGGTTGTGTCTGTATCTCAGGGTGCGTTTTGTTAACTGGAGTCCTAGAGTGTCTAAACAAACCACTAACAGGGAGATGGAACTTGAGAGAAGGAACAAGTCAGGAAGCGTCTGGCGTTAACTGCAACTGAAATGACTACTTCTGATTTTTATCACCCGTGCCAGTAGAAGCAGGACTGAAGAAGGAAATTTACATTTTAACAGTTGCAGGAAGGACAGGGTGTAGTGTAAAAGTGACGTGCCACACATTGTAAAGCTGCTGAATCGTTAAGGAAAACTTTTGTGTTATTTTAACGAGGGGGGAGAGGAGGAGGCGATTAAATGAAGGATTATAGCCTTAGCATCTCACATTTGGAGATAGGTGCACTTCAGAGACTGCGGTTTAAACAAAACTGGACAAGAGAGACGGAGGGAGGGAGAGACGGACGGCTGTGGGTCCTACCTGCCACTTATGCTGCTTTCGGTTATAATGGTAGTATGGCCATGGTAAGTTTAATCAACACTGAGCACCCCTGCCAGCCTGATCTCTCGCACCACCCTGAGTAATGCCAACACCTTGAGTGTTGGAGTATTTCACTGTCTACAGCGTAGATATTTATTCACGTTTGATAATCAAATAATTTATATGGAAAATTTGAACTACTTAGAAATACCACTGTACATTTAAACACTTTAAACTGTTTTTGCCTAAAATATTTGTATGCAAATCATGTATTAGATTTGCTGTCTTGGAAGTCAAACTTATTTCGGAAACTTTCTCATGCTTAAATTTTTATTTCTTATCTGCTATTAAACAGTGTTTATATACAAATTGTAGTGTCTAATTATAAAATACAATAGGAACATACACACAGTACAAGTATACCGAAGATATTTCTATTGAATAGTGTAGTGCTTTGCATACAAAGGCGTGGGTTCTTGTTTTGAACATTTTGGTTTTATTCAGTAAGGTTGTAAATGTCAGCAAACTGTGTTTCTGAGTTAATGACCAAGTCTGTGTGGATTTTATTACTGTGCTTTTAAAGTGAAGAATTCAACTTACTGCCATACTTGCCTCCTGCTCTGTAAGTAAACACAACTTGTATCCATAGTTTTTGTCACCTTTGTTTCATGTACAGTATCTCAGGCAGATGTATGTATGTATGTATGTATGAAGTATTCTTTCGTATGTGCAATGGTCATTCCCTTGTTTTTCACTTATATGTAACTGGAATCTCAATAAAAATGGGGTAAAATTTAAAGGTTTGCCTGTTTATTAGTTTATATTATATGGCTAGTAGCAATTAATCCTCATTTTCATTTTATGAGGAAGAATTCTAACAGTGACAATAATACTGCAATGTTTAGAAAGTCCTCAGTGTGGGTAGGACTTCCCCTTTAAGTCAAAAATAAACTGAATCCAAAAGAACAGTTAGTCAATACCCTTAACAGCTGACATCATGTGATCATGAAGTTGCTGACCCAGATGTGGGATACAGGTCACGCCCTGAAAAGGTATACAGAACGTAAGATGCGAGTGGTGGGTATGTCATCTGCGAATGGGAATCCAGCCTCCTGGCGCATTAGCAAACAAACCCTGACAAGGTCATGCAGGAGATTTCCCACAGAGCAGAGATGGGAACGGACCAGCACTAACAGACACACCTCCACCCCCACCCATCTGGGCAGCAACACAAAACGGTACCGTTGTCAATGCGGTTTCCCGAAAGCACTAGAAGACGCACCCTTTTCCGTCCTGATGTTAAGCGATTCCCCTGGGAAACCACACGATTTTCCTCAGCAGACCACCATGAAATTCAATCCCGGCTCCCACGTCACGTAGGCCTCAGCATGCGGCTCGTAGGAGTTTCCGAGACCACCGCCTTCGATTGCCCTCTATGCCATCGCTCCCACCTCCCACTGGGATTTGCTGCCCCTTGTCTAATAACTAGCTGGAAGCCTCTTGGGGGTGGTGGTGGGGGGGGGGCGACAACACTGATGTGAAGTTTTGAGCAGAAGCAGACATGCAGCTTGACAAACAGAAGCCAGAGGGGAATGGAAAGCACACAGCCATGCATACGCTTTATCCAGCAAGAAGTGGCTGCTGAGTCATTAAGCGAGAAACTCAAGTCACTCCCGATCCCCCCCCTACCCCACAACACCCGCTTTACAAGCAAAAAGTTTCACTTTGTGGATGTACAGGCTACCTCATGTCAACGGCTCCTCCCACCTCTGCTCCCAAAAGTCCAATGGAAATGTAATGAATTTTAAATTGCTCACAGATTTTACCTCTTTGCTTTCTAGACCAGGGCTATGTGGTTGGACCATTACAAAACGCTGCTCATAGCCAGGGGTGATGTCAGTGGAGGGAAGGGGGCTGTGGTGGTGGTGGCTGGCCTACGGCCTCGATTTTAGAGCTTTTTCTCCTTTCACGACAGCCCTGCTCACCACATGGCCTAAATTAGTCCATCTCGGCACCCATTTATACTGTCGGGTTTATAAGACATTTATTTAAGACATCTCAAATGGCCAACATAAAAATAAGATGGAAAACACAAAAAACATACCACAAAAAACACACACATGTATTCACATATACATATAGTACCCCCCCAGACACACAGAAACACTATCCAGAATGTGTCTGGGTCCACATACCATAATATTTACACTCTCACTTCCGGGTGCATGTTTGTGAAGGGGAGGTCAAGCAAATTATCAACACAGCAATTTAGCATAGGTACAATGCAGTGGGGCTGCCTTCATCAATTCTGCGTGAAGAAGCTCCGGACATGCTGTGCTGTGGTCTGGCCCACCACGAGCTCCAGGTCCTGGGCACTCGCCTGACTGAGTTGGTGGATACTGGGGAAGTTGTGGAGCAAAGCCAAAGCCTTCACCCGGCCCACTGCAGGGATACGCTGCACCAGGGCCAGTACCAGCGGGTCCTGTAGGCGTGCTGTGCTCCTCCGCAGGAAGGGATTGCTCCCCGCCTCCCGGCCATTGTCATGGGCCTAAAGGTAGGATGATTCTCATTATCGTAAGTCTGCACCCCCACCCCACCTACAAAACAAATATCCTCAAATCTGCTTCTACCTGCACATGTGACTAAGTCGTGTGACATCATTGTCACCAAGTATTACATAACTATCCTCATGGACTCTTGTTTGCAAAATTTTATCAAACTGCACTCATTCCCATAATGAGTATATTCAAACATAAGTCTTGGGTGGAGTCTGTGCTGCCTTCTGTACACAAAGCTATCACATGCAACTGAGCTGAAATAGTAAACTTAAAATGATGGGCATAAATCCTAACATCATAACTGGGTCATCAAGTCAAAGAGTGACTCAGTACTTAAAAAGCACAAAAAGCTGCTGATTGAAATACCAGTAAAAGAACCAGTGCCAGGACATTCAACCAGACGTGTAAATAGGGCAGCTTTGTGTCTATTGGTACAATTAGCTGCAACATCACCAATTTATCTCTACTGGTTGATAAATTCCATTTGGCTATAGTTCATCTCGGTTAATTTCAGTTAATTGTTTGGTTTATAAATATCGCGATATTACTGGGGGAAATGTCACATGTCGCAATATGACATCATACAGTCCTGCGTTTAAAGCTACGCGGATGAGGGTTTAGTTACCAGCTGTGTTATTAGCTGAGAGGCCTCCGTCTGGCCGGCCACGGGCAGCAGCGCCAGGCCCAGCTCGAACACCGCGAACTTCTGCACGCCCAGGAAGTACTGCTCACTGAGCCGGGTCCTCTCCACAAGCACGACCCCATGCGTGCTGAACCGGGCCTGCGGCACACCCACGCAGAACGGCTCGGAAAACAGCACAGCACGTAAAAGTGGAGTGGAGTCACTAGTCTCTTTCGCCATACTGGTGCAAATTAACACTTTCCCCTTGAGTCCTGCTGTGTATTTATAACTGGAACAAATTTGTGGAGACTTGAATAATAATACTCTGTAAACCACAAACGATGTTTAAAAGCCCGCGACCTGCTAATCCAGACAGACATGCATTTGCTTCTTCTGAAAAATAGCAATGGGTTTCCCAAAAAACGGTATCTTCCCAGCTGAAAATGTCAAACCAAGACAACAGACTGAAATATACTTACATTTCTAAATTTAACAAGTCTCCTCTTGTAGGTGCTTCCCGCCACCAAGTCACTTTCAGACACATACATCACACAGCTTTTATTGGAGAGATGAAAGTCCACTACACCGAGTTCTTCTTCAAAGATTGGTTTGATACTTCCTGGCAATAGAGTGAAACACTTAAAACTTCTAGAGGAAAAAGCAAGAATGAAGGAAAGAAAAAAAATACACGAGAAACAGAAATACTGTACTTTATTTGTTATTTTGTCTCAGTGGTGGGCAGATAAAGCCGGAATTATACAATGGTGCCACCTGCAGGAAAACTTAAGCCAACAGTGAGTTGATTTTTATTGATGTTAACGCCTCGAATAAAATTTTCCTAAGAACTTCATTCATCTGCAACTTCATTCACACCTCATATGAAAGGTTCGCTAAACAGCTCAGTAAGAAACATTTTAAATATCCGCATAAATAGGCATTAAGACGTTCAGCCAGTTGTGTAGATAATAGAATGTTTATGACAGGTAGATATTGAGTAAATAGACACAGATTTTACGTGCATACCTCTGAAACCCTGTACGAGCGCAGAACCTCTCCATTTTTCGTTGACAATAATGTGCCCATAGGGGGGCACGGCGTTCGCACGCACCGGCGTGCTGATGTCCATCGCGCTAGCCCTGGACCGTAGATTAAGCGGCCAGCGAAAAACAATCAATTAATTCTTCTCGATACTTTTATTGCCGAATAAATATGAAACACATTTTAATATAAGACTGAATACTGGTTTCGTGTTTCATCCGTAAAAGAACACAAATTATTCAGCAAGTTCGTAGAAGTCAACGAAGGTAGAGACAGTGAAACTGAAACCCGAGCAGCTTCCTCTCGTTGTATCCAATGAAGCGCCTTTCTTCCTTCTCCGCCAACTTTTGAATGGTTGACAGCTGCAAACGGCTGGCGTTGCTAGGAGGATTAAAGCTCGTTGGTGATTGGGCCGCGTGTCTGACTTAAACCAATGACAGTGCACGTTGTAAAGGGGTCACTGTGATTTTTTAGCGTCTGGATACAAGAATGAGGAAAATACTATTAGGAAACTGAGTAGCAGGGTGGTCACTGTTTTATTGAGATATTTACGTTTTCATTGAAATCCAGTCTATTCTTTGCATTTTATTGGCCATAAACGTTGCAGCTGAAATAGCAGTCGTTAAGTTTGCGTTTATTTTAGAGTCACAGAGCTGGAACTTTCTGAAGATGTCTAAATTCAGCTTCAGGAGAAAGGACAAAATGGCATTTGTGAGTTTTCGAATATCGACTATGCTATTCTTGTTTTTATAAAAAGATACTAACCTAAAGACGATTGTACGGTCCCTATAATATTGTTACATTTTTGTAGATACTCGTATGATGTGACGTAATCCTGTTGACGGCTAGCCTTAGGTAGCGAAAGGGGTTGAGGGGTGGCGAATCATATCGTTCATTTATAGGACTAACAAGTAAAGCAGTTAACTTTTTGTTGACCTTTCTGTGACTTGGTGTTACTTTTTTGAGCTATGTAACCTTAAGTTGCTTTTTCAAAAATGGCTGCTGTAGAGGAGAATAGGACATGTAGGACGAAAATTTCAGCTAGGGCAGTATAAAGGAGTTAAATAATTAACATGGTTACCATAACTACTTTAAAACCCATCATATTTTAATCTGCTTTTTAAAAAGTTGAAAACCTTAAATAATTGCTTATCAACTGAACCTCCTCTATTTTGGTACATTGGTGTGTTTATTCAAAGCCCTTTTCAAGTCTTTTGGCCTGTTATGTGAGTGTTATCTTTTTTCTCGTAAATAATGTATGTAATGGAACAACTTACATCTGGGGATAAATAACAAAACGGAATCTAAAAGGAATGTGAACATGGGGGGCGGTAACCTACAGAATTTACAGTGATGACTGGTTGCATAAAACTGATGCTGATAACAAGGAACTGCTAGGAGTTTCATTCCAGGGTTCCTTTTGAAATGTTTACAATAGAAGTTTCTGTAGCACATAATGGAACTATTACAAGTAAACGTGACTGAGAGGCTTATTAGCCAGTGCTTCCTGGTGCTTTTAACCATATACTCTGTAGATTAGGTACCTTACAAATAGGTACTATATCATGCCTTCCCTTTGACAATGACCCCTGACCTTCACACCAGGCCAGGTCCTTTCCCATAATCCTTTGCGCTGCATTATGATGTTTCTGGTATGTTTTGTGGGGGGGCTGGTTAAATATACACCACCTAGGTCATTTCTGGCAGGTTTTAATACGAATCGGACAAGTCAAACCCCAAATAGTATTCTCCCTTAAACATCCTTGTCACTCTGCATCTCACGGTCATCAGTGACGTCACCGTGACGTCACCGTCACTCTCACAGCTGACTTGGAGCTAATGTTCCTTCATTATTGGTGTCTAACAGAGTTCTCTGTGGTCTGTTTAGAAGCACATAGCTCATGGTTTGATCCCTGCCGCCACCGTTGCTCCCAGACCCGCTGTTCCCCGCACCCCTCCCCCTCGCAGCCCATACCCCTCTCCAGAGAGACCCAGGTACCTACGTCATTCATGTCTCTCATCCAGCAGCCTTTTTTTCTTCCTCCTTCCCCCTTTTCTCTTCTTTTTCCTTTCCTACATTTTCTCCCACAATCCTGAGATGCCATGTGCATTTTTTTTTTTTGCATAAACTGTAGCAGCCTTTATTTATGCTTTGCCATAGAGATTGCAATCGCACAAATTATCGTCTCGGAAAGAGTATTAAATCTGTATTTTTACGAACCTACATAAATGCTCTAGGTCTGCCTTGGCAGCAGCCATCCTGTCCTCCTCCCTAACTGGCCGCACGGTGGCCATTCCTCCAGCACGACAGCGGTCTCTGTCAGTGAGTGACTGCTCCCGCTCAGCCAGCCGCGTGGAGGTGGAGCCCTGCACCAGCACCGCGGAGTATAGCAGGTAACATAGAGCACACTTGCACCATGCTGTCAGGGCCTGGCCTTTTCGTCTCCTCACTGATATTCCCTTAGTACTTCATGGTTAATGGGCACCACAACCTTTTATGCACAATCTAAAAGTCAAACAAAGGGCAGATGTCACAGCATTTTAACCCCCTTTTCCTGCAGGGACAGATGGCATCGATCTGTGGCAGGCAGGCCCCGTTTACCCTCCCCCGAGCATTCTGACCCATGTGATGAGGATGATGATGACAGTGATGATGAAGACGAGGAAGGCGTAAAGGGAGGATTGCTTTCGGATCCGGACGAAGACCACATTTACCAGTCTCTGGAGAGGCAAGGTGCTGCTCTGGTCACAAACGACATCTATGCTGTGCCACATAAGCAGGTATGGTATCTACAAGGAATTTACCGTTAAAATACTGCAATTTTTAAAATTTTTTATTCCCAACTCATTTATTAAAGGGTAATTTCTTGACAGTAATTAATTTGAGACTATGCAGTGCATAATCTTGCCAGTGGGTGGAGCTACACAACACATTTTGAAATAATCTGGACAAGCTTTGGCATATGTTAAGGCTTTGCCATTTTTATGGCATTTTAAAATGCCATTTTAAATGGATGTTTGTAGATTGGAGGTTGAAAATTTGAAATTATTTCACGCATGCTACCAAGCTCAGCCCAGAAGCAGCTAAGCACTGTACATTTGGTTTAGAGTGCAGCGATTTAACCCCAGTATGTCACCAAAAGGTTGCCAAGGGTGTTAATTATCTATAATACCTGTGTAATGTGCTTTAATGTGCCATAATGGAGAAGCTGGGGTCTATTTAATGCAAATTTAGTAGCATAGGAGAATAATTTAGTACGTAGATACACATTGCGAAAGAGTGTCTGTCTTTGGCTGTCTGACATTTTAAAACAACGTAACCGTCAAAAGATACGAATTGTAGGTCAATTACGTTGCGTTAAAGTGCAGTGCAAAAAACACAGTTTCAGAATGGCCAATTCACAGATGTGCCAACCGAGAGGCCTAACACCAGATATTTGTTAGCTGCTGTTCGGTTCACGATTGCAAAGAAAGCTCACAGCTTCTCTCACTCCCTGTGGCTTTACTGCTATATGCTCCCTGCAGACTCTTAAATCAGACAATTCATCTGATTTAATTGTTTTTGTTCCTGGATCCATTTTTCTGTGATTCCCCAGTTTACCTTAACAAATTCCAAAAGGCAAGTTTATTTTTTTGTGTTTTTTATTTAAGTATGAAACATGATGGCACTCATAATCGGGTATTTTGTCAAGAATGTCAGTGTCGCTGTTTACATTCAAAGTGAGAGTATCGCTATGATGTCATGGTATACTTGTGTAACATGGGTCAAACGATAACATTGCTCTGATTTTACGATTTACACAAAGAAGTGTCTTTCGTTTTTGGTTTGTGGCCTCCTGGTGGCTTCAATCCAGTTTACATTGTTCAATTTGTTCTTATCTGCTCACTGTGCTCGGGGCCAGTCAGTGCAAAGATGTTAGCGACCTGCATTGATGAGCTGAGTGCCATGACGGGCCCTCCAGGGGCTGCTGGGAAAAGCATCACTACTGTCACAGATGGCGAATGTCAGCAGTCGCAGAATCGCATGCCGCAGAGCCCTCGTTCTTGAGGGTTGCTGTTACTGGGTTTCTGGCTAATTGGACCTGGCTTTGCAGTGGCCTGCCATCACTACACTAGAGCATTTTAATGAATAGGGGCCCTACTGATCACAGAAGAGTGTGCTGAAGTAACGAAATGATTGTGTGCACATGCAGGCCAGCACTGGAATGTAATTAGTTTTGCTGCAAGAGTCTTGTGGGGTGGTTGCTGCCTTCTAGTACTTCACTGAAGATAATCTTTGGATTTTATTGCTTTCATTTCAGCACAACATTTCCTCCTACTGACGTTGTTTCAAATAAATGCTCAATATTTTGAGTCAAGTATATCTATTTATGTACTATTATTAATTAGTGATGTAATGAAGACCAACTAACCCGATACCAAGTCTTTACCAAGACCAGAGTACATTGAGACCGAGACAAGACCAAGACCATGGCAGGGCAAAACCAAGACAAGACTAAGACCCAGGCAGGGTGAGACCAAGACATCTGATTGGTTGGTCCTGCCTCCTCTAGTTGCTTGGACCCACCATCCTCTACATCCTCTACAATATTATTGGTTTAGAGAGAGAACCATTTTTCATTTTGCCCTTGGAACATTTTTGTGCAAGTAAATCTCCCATGAGCCAAAATCATCTGCTTGGGAAACTTAAATATTTATCAATGTAATATACTGTTAGAAAAAGAACAGTTTGTTCATCAGTTAGAATCAGGTGAAATGCATTGGTATTGCCTTTATTATTTGTGTTTGCTTCACTCAGAGAGGTGGAAGATACAGTAGGGAATGGCCCCCTCCCTGGAAAATGTAGGTCATATTTTATAGCTTGACCTTTAATACAGGCTTCCTGTTGATGTAAAGCTGCCAGCATGATTAAATCAGCAAATGCTGAGCGTCCGTGCTGCTCAGACTGCAGCAGACCATATTAGTGAATCAAAAGCCATAACTTGTGAAGCTGTTTTTCATGACTCTGAGCACATAGATTCAATGGCCATAGAGACATCATGGGGGCTTGCTTTGAATTGTAGGTGATGAATCCTGGAGATAAATGTGGTTGACGAGTGCTTTCTGCTCCAGGGAACTGATTGGGTGATTTAAGGAATGATTGAATTTCTGAGTCTTACAATCATGTAAGAGCAGATTTTAGTCTGCTGCGTGATTATGTTTGAATTGCAGATGGCATGAATGCCAGTCTTGCAGATAATGGGTGAACCGCTTTGCAGGCAGTGTGAGAAAGGAGGCTTGGTGAATATGACATGATGAACTAGTGTTTGAATGGCTGCATAGCAGCTTTCCCTATAGTGAAAAACTTTATAAAAATCATCTTGTTTTGAAGCACCTGATAGCAGTCTAACGGGGACTGAGATAAATGCATCAATTAGCTTATGTAGATAATGTTTTAAATCATGAATTTAACCTTTCTGAACAAGTCTGATCATACAGGTCAACTTGTGCATAATAAGATAAACGCCTTGTACAAAGAGCATTGCTGAAATTTGATATTTGAATATTTCAGACGATACAGGGTGGTTTAATAAGGGGCATTGATTTCTCTAGGACAATCATCAATGCCCATGATTTAGGCATACCTCTTCAACATTTCATCTGTTCTGAAGTTCTGAGATTGAAAGTATGATAGGATTATGTATTTTTGTTAATCATTCAACAGAGATTAATTAGTTGTAACATGTGTGTGGCACCATTTATGACATCGTCTGTCATTTTTGACATTTTTTGGCTAGTATGTGTGGTATGGGACTATAGTACAGATAAATGTTTATTAAATGTTTTCCTTTTCAGGAGGTTGTGATAAAAGGGGGACTACTGGGTGAAGTTTGATGGTGGGGTAACAAACGTTACATATGTGGACACAAACAGGTCTAGGCCAAAACTGAAGCAACACATATCAATGTAAAGAGACGCCACCATTGAGAAATGGAAAGTTTGAAGGAATATGAACGTCATTTGAATTTTTTTGGAAACCGATGGCATCATCCCCTTTATCACATACTTAAAACAATGATGCATTTAAGGAGCATTTGCAACTGTGTTGTGAATATGCTCCTTGGGATAATAATGAGTATTACTGTTGTGTTCTAGTGTTCATGTTTGTGTACTTAGTCTGCAATTGAATGATTATTGTTCAGTGTTTACCGGAAGGCTGAGTATGGTATTATAGGCAGATAAATGATGGAACGTGCCGACCAGAGACATCTTGGAATATTCATAGAAAGGACACAGAAATACTGGCTCTCTGTTAGCCTGGCTGTTCCTGGCAGGAGATCCTGATCTTATCCTTGCATCATGCTGTACTGCTGTTAGTAGTTGTAATGATTCCACCAAGGAACTGTCTTGCTTGAGGCTCTTCATGTAATAAGTTGAGAGCTGCTGTTCATATCTTTTACCTGAAGATTCTATTTGACCAAATACTGTTATTGTTAAGTATTTTGGATCCCTTGTGTCATTTATCAGAAATTAATGTAGCTGCTGAAAATAATCCAAGCTTCTCATGAGAAATGAAATTACATTATGTACTTTCAACAATCAGCCATAGCATTGAAACCTCTGACAGGTGAAGTGAATAACATTGATTGTCTTACTTTCACCTGGGAAGGGTGCCATTGTGTGCAGTGGTCAGTACCTACCAATAGTGGTCCAAGAAAGGCCAACCAGTGAACCAGCAACGGGGTCATTGGTACCCAAGTCTCATTGATGGGAGCCGGGAGCGAAGGCTGGTCTGTCTGGTCCTACCCCACCTGCAGGAGGGCTACTGCAGCACAAATTTGCTGAAAAAGTTAATGCTGGCTATGATAGAAAGGTGTCAGAACACACAGTGCATTGCTGCTTGCTGTGTATGGAGCTGCATGTAGCTGCAGAGTTTGAGTTCCCATGCTGACCATTGCCCATGCTGACCATTGCCCATGCTGACCATTGCCCATGCTGACCATTGCCCATGCTGACCATTGCCCATGCCGAAGGCACCTACAATGGGCATACAGGCGTCAGAGCTGGGCCATGGAGCAATGGAAGACAGTTGCCTGATGAGTCACATCATGTGAGCGACTGGCCAGCCAGCGGAGGCAGTGTGAGGCTCTGGGCAATGTTCCGCTGGGAAACCTTGGGTCTTGGCATTCAGTGGATGTGACATGGACACTATCACCTACCTAAACATTGTTGCAGACCAAATACACCCCTTCATGGCAACAGTATGCCCAGATGGCAGTGGCCTCTTTCAGCCAGATAATGTGCCCTGCCAGACTGCAGAAATTGTTCAGGAATGGTTTGAGGAACGTGAAGAAGAATTCAAGGTGTTGACTTGGCCTCCAAAGTCCCCAGATCTCACTCTGCTTGAGCAGCTGTTAGATGTGCTGAACAAACAAGTCCGATCCATGGAGGCCCCATCTCACATCTTATAGGACCTAAAAGATCTGCTGCTGACGTCTTAGTGCTAGATACCACAGGACACCTTCAGAGGTCTTGTGGAGTCTATGCCTCGATGGGTCAGAGTTGTTTTGGCGGCACGAGGGAGGCCTACACAATATTGGGCAGGTGGTTTTAATGTTATGGATGATAGGTATATGTTAATACACAAAGAACTAATGAATAAAAGTCCCACTATCCGTCAGAGACTATCAATTAAGAAAGGATTGTACGTGCCCCATGAATCTGCCAGATTGGCACTGTGATGAGCTGCTCATTAGTAAAACAAGCCTTTAGAGATGACCAAGGAAAGGGTTTGTCTTTTGAAAAAGACACGAGTACTTTTAGAGGGACATGTTAAACATGATGCAAGGGCATTTTAAGAGCTGTCTGTCTTATCATAACAGACCCTCAGGAAAATATTTCTGTAAGCCTCATGGTGAAATCACATCAAAGCACATGAAATGTACCCTGAATCTCACTGAACATTGTCAGAAAAATACAGAATTGTAAGTTTTGTTTCTGAGGTCTTTCTTAAGGAAAAGTTATAGATTTGCAGAAACCTAACCAGGCAATGATGTCACATAAAATCAAAGTTTATTTATTAATCAGCACAGCATACAGCAGTAGATGGAGCCAATGAAATGTTGTGTGCACCTTGTTTTCCATTGAGGAAAAAATAAATTCCAAACAAGGAAGGTCAGTAGTGGAAAAATAGATGTAAAAGTGCTGAAACGGCATTTGTTTTTCCATTTTTAAGATTTGCTGGAGGTCAGTTAGGAATTTTATCTTTAAAGTGAGCTTCAGTGTGATATTCAATGAGCTTCAAAAATATCTGTGTCTCAGCATTTGTATACATTTCACGTAGATGCTAGCACAGAGTTTCCCATCAAACTAAGCAAGGAGTCTGTAGCACTGCAGTACCCAGCACCATGACAGTGGTATGAATTAGTCTTATTAGGAAGCCTATGTAAAACTGTGTATCTGAAGTCCCCAGAACCCTCTGTTTATTGTTGCAGGCTGCCTGCCAATCCGAGACCGGCGGTGTGACAGACAGCTCTGTGGCTGAAGAAGTGTCTGCTGTACACGCAAGGGGTTTGTATTTGGCCTCAGGGTCAGGCCCCTGCTCCCTGGCCAGATGTGTAGAGAGATGCTGAGTGAATGGGGGCATAGCATCTAATCAGTGGGCTCTGGGGTTTGTATTACCCAGCATTGTTTCCCAATCTGGTCCTCTGGGACTCAGACAGGCCATGTTTTTGCAAAAATGTCAGGAAGGGAGCTTGGAGGGAGCAAAACCGTGGACCGACTGTGGGTCCCCGAGGACCAGGTTGGGAAACACCACCGTATTCTATAGCCCTCTTGCTCCAGACACTATCACAGTAGTTACTCTAATCTCCTAGTAATGTCTTTTAAAGCATTGGACAATTGTCTGTATAGGGAAAGTCATTATCACTGGAAGCACTTTGTGTTTTTTATTATTGGCTAAGTGCATATTTCTTCCAAAATATGTGATCACCGATGCCATAAAGCTGCTTTTTAGCAGATTTCTCCAAGGTGCTCCTTTTGTGGACTTGCTTAGTGCTTAGTGGTCATTAAATAATGAGCCAGCATATTGTTAATTGTGTGATTATAAAGGATCCGTGCAAAACAAAGACTTTGTTTCTCTTCTTTGTGGACCATGTTCTGAAAGACTGTTACAGATTAAAATATTACAGCACTGGTCAAAAATATCATTTTTTCAGTTTGCGATGTGATCAAAAATCGACATAGAAGATTGCAGAAGACCAAAACTTAGAATCCCGCAGAACAGCAGTGATTAATGGATATATCAAATCCATTCATAGGGAAGAAGCTAAGAGCTGATTTGATTAATGATTTAGCTGTGATTTATATCTCTAATATTTTTTTTAATTCTTTTTTGTCACACACCGTTCTTATTATCAAAAGCAAACTGTGTTTCTCCATTTTGACTAAAACTTATATATCCAACAAGTAAGTACCATTGAATGTAAATGTTATCATGCCTTTTGGATTAATTGCTAACATGAAACTGTTCTAAAAGTCATCTGAAGCAGATGACTGAAATGCAAATGAAAGAGATGGAGCCCAAATTTACTCCAGACTAAATGCTGGTGATTTGAATGAGTGATTCAGTGAGTGTAATCATGGCCAGCCCATCCTATATGAATTAGTGATTCAGTGATTGTAACCATGGCTGGCCCATCCTATATGAATTAGTGATTCAGTGAGTGTAATGTCGATTAATTTATACTAAAAAGTTTTGTTTTCTTTCTTGTATTTCAGACAAAACTGCAGCGCAGGAACAGACATTTAAAAAGGTAGGAATAAAATATATATAGGAACACAACGAGTGCCAAGTTGAGTGGACAGGAAAGGGGAAGTAATGATGGGTATCATGATCCAGCCAGTTTGGGTCAGTAATTGTCCCCAGTCAGGGCCTCGTTCTCACCGATGTAAACGCTCCCCAGACACAGTCAGGCTGTAGGCAGTAGCCATACACTTGCCACACTGCTGCTGAGCGAGACCCTCCCAGCGTGAACCACCTGGAGCCATTAGTGGAAGCCTGGCGTGGAGGATTAGGGGTGGAGCGGGTTTTGACAGCCGGTCCGAGACTGAGGTCAAGCGCTGCCAGGTGGCTGCTGTCCATGGTGCTGATTGGGGCTGGCAGCCATCTGCGTTTTGGCCAGAGATTGCGGGCTCTGGAGGTGGCGTGTTGTGACACACGGCTGTCTTAGGGACCATAAGTTTGTTGAGCATTTCTGCCTGACGCTTTGTTTGCAGTGTAAGCCAGTGAAGATGTGGGAGAAATTTCAGTTGTTTATGTTGACTAGCTTGTTCACAGCAGTGTCAAAGTGGATTGTTCTTTCTACGTTTCCCACAGAACGGGGATATTCTGATAGGAAACATGTTTCCAATTGCAGCATATGCTTATCTAGATAAATCCAACTGTCACTGAGTTATATTCTAAATAAGGGATTCCCTGCATTCATTCATCCCTCCATTAATTTTCTGGGTATCTAGTACAGGGTCACAGTGTGCATTTGTAATTTATCATAATGGGTGCAGACCTTTTTTTTCCCTCTGACATTTGGCCAGTATGAGTTTACATGCAACCACATGCTACCATGCACAGCCATCATGCCATTGGACCAAGTAGAACCGCTGGGTCTCTTAACAGCTGTCAGTGGGACCTGTTCAGTTTGTCACCCGCATCGAAAACTGAGCTGTCCCTCCCCAGTGGCAGTTGAGCATGCTTCCAGTGCTTGACTTTGCTAGGATTGGTTCTGTTGAAGGAAACGTGTCATTATTCTCGGCTCGTTAGGCCCACTTTTGGGTGGCAGGAGCAGTTTAGCATGTCGACTTGACTGTGGCACTAGATCGAGTTCCTCTCTCTGGCTTTTCCTTACACTGCCCTTACTGCTCCCAGTCCAAACTGTCTCCTACAAAGTCTTCCTGCCCTCTCTGGAGGCATAGTATTCTCTCTGCTGCTCTACATCATGGAAGTTTAACCACCGACTACCCAAAATTCCATTGCGCAGCCTGTGTTCTTTGCGCATTTATTGCCAAAAGGTGCATGGTATGGACATGAATAATTCGATTTAATACCAGCTCATACATAATTAATTACCAATGCCTTGTGTGAAGTAGTGGAATTGTGCTCTTCTTAAAAGAAATGGTGAGTCTGGTCGTGAAAGCTGGTCAGACAGCTTGTCAGAGATTTAAATAATTAAAGCAAGGTCTGGTGTTTTCACTGTTTACTTGGTATAGTACACTTATAATGGAGTCGTGTGTTTTAATAGAACAGGGACTTCTCTGCTTCCTCCCCAGGCTTCATCTCCAGTGGAGCCTGTGATTGAGAAGACACGGCAGTCTCCAGGTAACAGGCTTCTCACAGAAGCGGAGTTCATCTTAGCTCTGTCTCATGTTAGTCCATCTAATTTCATTATTGGCTCAGATTCACAATATCTCAGCAATGCTCTCTTCTGGGGAGGCTTTTCAAAAGGTATAAAACAAGATTACTGATTATAAATGATGATTATTCATAATACGATCTAATGTCTCTGACTGGATTCCATGTGTTTTTCTAAAGTGAAATTTAAAAGGCAGAGATAAGAGGGATTTGCAACAATTCTTACTTGCTGCTTTCTTTTGAATGATCTTGTTATGAACACCTTACAGCAATTATTTTGGATCTTAATCGGGACTAAATGTAAAGATAACCGCTAAAAGTATGGGAATGAGGACACACTGTTACAATTTATGTGTAAGCTTTTCCTGTACATTGTTTTCACAGTAGAAATGTTCCAGTGATTGATTAAATATTTTGGTAATACTTTACTGTCATCTATAATTCATTATAAACACCATCATAATGCATTATAATGGTTGGCATAAGAATTAATAAAGGATTGCTGCAACTTCTACTGACAGTCATAAGGAATTATAATGTTGATTATAATACTTCATTGGCTCCAATAAAGCTCTCATCTATAATGCACAATAGATACCTTCATAATGCATTATAATGGTTGGTATAAGAATTAAGGATACTTTGTACTGCATTTATACTGCATTATAGATAAGAGCTTAATAAAGCATTCATAATGCATATTACACATGGATAGAATGTTATGCTTTTAATACATATTTATAGTTGTGTTTTATGATGCTTTATTAATGCATTATAATGTGTTATGAATGTGTTAATAGATTTTTATAGACATGGTATTCATAGGAAGTGTTATCAATATTTTGTATTCAAAATGATACAATATGTGACCAGTGTGTGAAAAAACTTTTGTCCTGAAGGTCTATTACAACAGCTCAAAAAGTATGTAAAAATAAACATCATAATTACTATTTGTAAGTAGTTTAGTAAAAAAAAAAAAGCATTATAAGTTACGATTAATGAATGATTTTAATGTACTTTCTAGTCGATTGAACTTGAGTGCTGTTTTTGTCAACATCATCAGACATTTTTTTTAATTTAAAAAAAAAAATCAAGAATAATTGTCGGTGACTAAAACTCTGAGGAACTCTTTAGCACTTCCTTGTTTCCACAGGCTTTGAGATCACTGTATGGAATTAATACGGTATTATCAGATGACTAATGTCACATTTAGAGTGCACTATGATTCATTTGAAAACATGTGCGTAAGAATGAGAACCACAAAACTCGTAAGATTCAAAATATCAGTGATACATTAATTCAAAATAATTTTATAGACGTTTCTATGTGTCTGATGGTGTTGACAAAAATGTAGTGCTCCAGCAAACATGTAATTCATAAAACAAAGTTATAACTGGGAGGTTTGTTCCAAAGAATGGTTAGATGGCCAAAACCTTATTTACTTAAAAAAAAAATGATGTATACATAGGTTTTGAAAATAATATATATATATATATATATATTTTAATCAAATCCTGTTTTGTCCATAATCTCAAGAATCATTGGTTTATATTTATTTGCTTATTGCTAATGTGTATCAGGATATATCAGCTTGATTATATGCTGATTTTAAGACCTTTAAAAAAGACGACAAACCAAACACAAACTTGTTTATCACATAGGACCTGATGAGTATGGGGTATGAATGAAATTACAGCTTTTCCTGAAATCATTTATCCATTTGGTGTTTATGCAAGCTTTGACTGACTATATACATGGTGTCCTACCCATCATCCCTCAGACCTGAGTTCAGAGTCTCCCAGAGGGAACTCAGGACCCCCCCTGAGGACAGGACCATCACAGAGGATGGCTGCAAGGGACAGCCAGCCGGGTAAGAGGACAAGTTTGTGACACGTGCTTCTGTCAGCAACAGGCCGCTGATGTCTGATGCCTCTGCTCACCATAGATACGATTGAATAAGCCATACCCAGTCTCTTCATTTCTTGTTGGGTGTTTAGTCAAAGCTAATTTTATGAACCTCTGACATTTTGTAATTTTACTAGCGCAGGCTAATTAAATCAACAATGGGATTTGCAGTAAACCAGCCCTGGAGTTCAGCAGACGGCTGTGATTTACAGGTCTGTGGGCATGGCAGTTGATCTTAGTTGACATGGGCATGTTTCCTGTGATGTTAAACACAGTGTTATCATTGCTGCTTTGACAGTCCCACCATTTAAGTGAACAGAGGCTGCTAGATGTCCGTAAAATCGGCCCTGAATACCTTCTGCTCATTCCACTTCCCGTTCATTTTTCGCTGTGGTTTCTTCCCTTAATTTCTGATATTTTTCTTAATGGTATTGCAATTTGGAACGTTTCAGTGGTGCTGTGTTACTGCAGAGTTATGGACTCCTTGTTCAATTAGACTGAAAACCCACCGCAAGTTGATCTGTGAACAGCATGTTTCTGCATTGAGCTCATTAAAGAGAGATGAGCACTGACATTTTGAGAGGAAATTGCTTGCAAACGTCCCTGGATGGAGATTTAGCTAATGGCCGTTCATTAGCTCTAAAGCCCTATCTGTGCCGTGAGATGAGTTAGGCAGAGTTAAACCTGATGCTTTTGGCAAAATAAATGAATACATTTTATATTTTAAATGCTAATACAATGGTGTGTTATGTGTTCTCTGTAAGTCAATATTTATCTGTTTGGTTTTGCATGTTTGATTGTGTTGTGTGCTTGGCCTTGCTGTGCTGTGCTGTGCCGAGCTGTGCTGTGCTGTGCTGTGTTTGGGCCACACCAGAGGCTGATGAGGCCCACAAGGAGTTGCTGGAGGCGCAGATGCAGCTGGTCAGGGCCCTGCGGGAGCAGAATCAGGGGCTGGCACAGAGGTGCGAAGAGCAGGGCCAGCTGCTGCAGCAGGCTCATGGGCGCCAGCGGAACCTGGAAAAACAGCTAGAGCAGAACCAAGCCTGGCTACTAGCCGTAAGAGACCAAGGCTCCACTGCAGGTGGGAGAGTAGCTCCGAGACGGCTTTACAAGGCCTGGGAATATGTACGCGAATGGATTTTATCCCAGTCCTGCTTCAAGGCCTGGTGCCTCCCAACCCCTGAACTGAATATATACCTTAGCTGAAATTTCAAGTACCTCATGCAACCATACAGTACTGTGCAAAATAAATATATATATAATTTAACATTAGAACGTATAGAAATTAAGGGTAACCCAATAAACACTAACCTGTAAATTTCTTCTCTTCTTGGACGGCTAGATGACCACGGCTTTGGGTCCCAAACCTCCCCTCAAGAGCACCTCAGCCATTCCATGCATTTGTTAAATTTCACCATCAACTCATTTAATTAGTATAAAAAGTCAATGAGCTATTGACTAGCCATACAAGGTGTGCTAGTGGTCTAGTCAAAAAAATATGTGGGTGTATTAATTGTTAATTGCAAATACTGAGGTGACTTTAGAAGAGCTTTTGAAGTGATTGAGCTCACACACTTTGATTTTGGTTTTGCATCAACATGAAGATCTCTTAAACATCATTTTCCTTGCCTACCACTTTTGCACAGTACTGTATATTTAGATTTTTGTTTCCTCTCTTTGAATAGCTGCGTGATCAACCCTGTGTCTGCAGATGTGTGGAGGATGTGATTGACGTGTTTTGATGGGGTGGGGTGCAGCTCCCCCTCTAAATGCAGCACTTCTCGCAGGTGAGCAGGTGCAACTGCGTACCCTCAGAGAGCAGAACCAGGAGCTGGTGGATGAAAACGATGGTCTGAAAATGACTGTCCACCGCCTCAATGCAGAACTCAGCAGGTACCAGGCCAAGTTCCAGCCACTGTCCAAGGAAGAGGTAAATGTCTGGCGCTGGGGAGCTCTGGCTCAGCTCTGAATTGCTTTAATAAAATAAGTGTTTGGATCACACTCACCTCACAAGCTGCAGGTGTGAATCAGGTGCTAATTACGGTCTACTCAGAAACCTATAGTATTGCTGCTCTTCAGTGGTGGTCCATGGTATTCTGTAGAAATTAGTACAGGAGCCTCAATTCTGGCACCACACTTAACCACAGCAGAACATGCCGCAGCATGAGAGCAAAGTGTTGTTCTTTAAAAATGTACAGAAGCTGAGAGCAGCTCTTGAGCAGTATCAGCAGTCAAGCCCAGAGGCTGAAAGGGGGTGTCCCCTTATGGATGTGTGCCCTTGTGGATGTGTGCCCTTGTGGATGTGTGCCCTTGTGGATGTGTGCCCTTGTGGATGTGTGCCCTTGTGGATGTGTGCCCTTGTGGATGTGTCCCCTTCTGAGACATCGGCACCATGCACATGTTGACGACACTGAGGAGAGAGACGCGTTGGGCTCTGTGTCCCAAGGATGTCGGTTGGCTAAGGAATTGAAGATTTGGAAGGAAGATATAGGATTTAAGTGAATGACTGAGATTCACTTAAACGACAGAGATTTAGAAACGTAGCTGCTTTAGATATTTTCACCCTCTGGGACAAGGGAAGTGGAGCAGAGGCTCTCTTGCTAGCAGTTGATTTTTATGGTGGATGATGTACAGAGCACATATGATATTCAGCTTTGATCTTCATCTTGAAAAGTGGTGGAAAAAATGCCTCATGTTATTTAATTTGAAATGAGAATTAAGTTCCGAAGCAGGGCAGCTGTAGTTACGTGTGAACAACTCTACAGAAAAATGCATTCTAAATTTTCACATTTTCATATAAAAAAATGTACTATATTATGGTTTCATCTGAATAATAATAATTGAATAATCATGCAGTATCTGTACAGTATCCTGTGTGTAAAATGCTGAATGAAGCTCAGTGGATTTTGTTCTGTACTGAAAAGTATTTTGTATGCCGGTGTGATTTCTCAGCTGAATTAATAAGCTTCTTCCTCCATTTTAGGCTTTATAATACAAACAACAACTGTTACAGTACTTTGAATTGCAGCATTGCATAACCCTGATCCCAAAAGCTCTGGTCTGATGCTGCGAGTATGGCAGTTACAGCCAGTACTCGTGTGTTAGCTTCTCATGTGGTTATTCCTGGCACCTATTTCCAAGAAGCATTACAGTGCTGTGACGATACTCCTCTCGGATGTCATTATAATTGTTGTGTTACTAAGCTTTAAAGAAACCAGTCTCTTGGCTGTTCTTGATTGATGTGACCATCTAGTCATTAAATCAGCTGTTAATGTGTGGTATATGTTTCATTCATAGCCAGTTTTGAGGATGTCAGCTGTATATAGTGCAGGTCCAGACCAAAGTGAAAATCCAGACCAAAGTTTTGTTTCAGCTAACCAGTTGAGTACTCTATGACTGTGACTCTTTTTATATTCAACTAACTGGATGAAACAAAATTTTGGTCTGGATTTTTACTTTCTGGACCTGAAATATCCACCACAGATTACGATTCAATATGTACTATACATTTTCCAGTTTCCTTCCAGTGTAGAGATGAGAGTGCAGTTGCTTCACATTAGTGGCCAGATGGCTTCTTAATATTTGCGACTCGGCGATGTAGATAAACGGCCACTCCATTCCTAGAAGAGATTGATAGACAAAGAATGGCGCTGGTGGAAGTTTAAGGTACCCCTACATCATCTCAGGCTCCACAAACCGGTTAATTATTGCTAACTAGCAAGTCACTTGTTCCATTAAGGGAACAGGTGGCCAAGGTTTCCGCAATAGCATTACGCCTTTCCAGGCACCTTTAGGAATTGCCGTTGCCACATGTAGCCTCACACCAAACCCAGGTGTAACCATTTGAGGTAATTACTTCAGTGCACTGAGCCAGTCTGTGTGCTTTCCAAAATGAAATAATCGGTCATTACTGAAGGCTCACATTTCAGTCACTGCTTACTGCTGTTTGGGTGTAGTAGGGTGTTAAGTCGCCTGCTTAGTCTTTGATACGGATAGGATTTGTCAGTTTAATTCCATAATGATGTATAGCGCTATTGGTTAATATGATTCAGTTGTTTTGTAAGCTCACAATCTGACGATGATTAAAACACGTCTGGTAAGGGTTTTCTGAAAGATTCAAGCATTCAGAATGAAACTAGTGGGAGGTAACTGGCATTTTAGTTTTGTCTTTTGCAGACAATAAGCAAATCAGTTTTGTTGTTTTCAAGGCCTGTAAATTGTCAGGCATTCGTTATATTACGTTATATCTAGAGTTACTGCATTTAATATAATAATTTATATCTGACATAAAGTGAGGTATGCATGATATCATATTGTGATATAATCGCGGTGAGACACGTGCAATACTCACCAGGGATTTAGATGACTGGTGTAAGCATTCGTCCGGACACTGGCTTTTCGGTACTGTACGGACGTATACTTCCACCCACAATTTGGTAAGCAGATTAGTAGTACAGTTAAACCATTAATAAGAGGCGTATCCTGATGCCCAGAAGTTGGTAATCTGTATATTCGATGTATCCTTATATTTATTAAAGTAACATGCCACATGGTATATCGTGGATGATCTGTTATGGTGACAAGGTCTTAGCTATCTTTAAATGATCACCTCAAAGGTCAAGCACATCAATAATGGACAAAAACATGAAGGCTGTGGTTCTGTAAGCAGACATCTGAAATGTGGCAAACAATCCTGCAGCCTGGCTGTCCAGCTCCATCTTTAACTGGCAATGCACTGTTGTCATTCCCGCTGTTTTCACAAGCAGCATAGAAATCACCTATAAAAATAATGCCAATGGTCAAGCATGGTAATGGTGGCGTTTGGAGATGTTTTACTGAATTCCTGGATGACCTGCTTTTTGTCATGACCCTCTCCAGTCTAGTCGTAAATCCCATTGCAAAGTTGTGGCAAGGTTATAAAATGAGTAGTTAATGTTCATAGACCAGTGTTTCTCAATCCAGTCCTCGGGGACCCATAGATGGTTCATGTTATTGCTCCCTCTCAGCTCGAGCAAAAACGTGGAGGACCGGGTTGGGAAACACTGCCACAGACATTCTCATCTCCCTGAGTTAAAACTGAAACCATGTATCCCATGCTTAAAAAGAAGTAAAATAAAAAAAAAACAACTAAATGAAGTTATATACAAATATGTTTGTTCTTTGAAATATAAGAAATTTTTGATTGAGTTTCAACATTTATAGTTAGAGAAGCATGTTTGAACTGCAGGAGGAAAAAAGAGAATGTGGATATAATCTACAGTACTGCCTACTGGACCAGATCTCACCTTCTCCATTGAGGAGGTTGTGAGAGCCCTCAAGAAGACCAAGGAGAACAGAGCACCGGGCCCAGACAATATTAGTGGCCGTGTTCTACGTCATTGCGCAGAGCAGCTGGGGGGTGTGTTTAAGCTCCTGTTTCAAAGATCAATAGAGAGCTGCACAGTTCCCCAGCTATGGAAGCATTCCACAGTGGTCCCCATCCCCAACAAGAGCTCAGTCAGGGCTCTGAACGACCTTAGGCCTGTGGCTCTGACCTCACTTGTGATGAAGACCATGGAGAGGGTCATAAAGAAGCACATCGTCAAGGTGACTAATGCTCTGATGGACCCTCTCCAGTTTGCATACCAGGCAGGTAGAGCGGTTGATGATGCAAAACTATTAATCATGGACACCATACACAGGCACCTTGAACGTCCGAACACCTCAGCTAGACTTCTGTTTGCTGACTTTTCATCAGCATTCAATACTATGCAGCCACATATCCTTGCAGAGAAACTATCCTCCCGCTTCCACCTGGATGACCAGCTAGTTCTGTGGATCCTAGATTTTTTAACCAACAGAACACAGAGAGTGCTGGTTAACAACATCTTCTCCGACCTCTCCTACTCCTCCACTGGCTCTCCTCAAGGCTGTGTCCTCGTACCTCTACTCTTCATCCTCTACACAGATGACTGCAGGTCTTCCCACCCTGACTGTTATCTGATCAAGTATGCGGATGACACTGTTCTTCTGTGTCTCCCCTCTGGTCCTTGTCACCACCATAACGCAGTGCTCCACAAGTTTGTGGAGTGGTGTGACCACGCCTCACTAGAGCTGAATGTGGAGAAGACAAAAGAGATGTTGGTGACCTTTTCCGACAAGTAGAGGGAACTGGCACCTGGAGACACCAGCACAATCCATGGGAAGACTGTGGAGCTTGTGGAGGAGTACAGATACCTGGGCACTATCTTTGAGAGTATGCTCAGGTTTGCCTCCAACACTGAGGAGATTCTAAGGAGATGCCAGCAGCGGCAGTATCTCCTGAGGAAACTTTGGAGTCAACAAGAACATCTTGAGGACATTCTACTACTCCTTCATTGAGAGCGTCATAACATTCTCAATAACCTGCTGGTTCCATGCCACCATTATGCATGACAGAGCCCGCCTGCAGAGGACAGTCAAAGTGTGCTCTAAAATAATTGGATCACCAATCAGAACTCTGTCCTCCTTCTGTGAGCTGTAAACCCTGAGAACAGCACACAGAATCTTACAGGACTCTTCACATGGGCTGTTCCCAGCATTTGAGTGGCTTCCTTCTGGGCGCCGAATCCGCTGCCCAGATTGCAGGACTCAAAGGAGAACAGCCACTTTTGTTCCAAGGGCTGTTCAACTTTTGAACTCAAAGCCACTATTACCCTCTGCCTCTATGCACTAAACCCCATAAAGGTATAACACATTTCATTCCCCACTACCTATTGACCTCCCCATTTTGGCACCTTATGTTAATCTGTTAATTTAGTTACCTGCAACTGCAATTTTGCACATTATGTATATATTGAGAACCATTTTATTACTTATTTCTTTTTATTATTATTATTACTTTATTCTAATTTTTTAGTTTTATTTATTTGTTCTATTTCTTTAATGTCTGGTTCTGTGTCTATAGAACACTGCTCTACGTGCCTCAAATTGCCCCTCGAGGACAAATAAAGTTTTTTTTTTATTTTTTTTTATTTGATTTGATTTGATTTGATTTGAAAGGAATTCACAGATAAATGTACACAGCAGGCTGGGTCCAGATCTGAACCTCTACCTCTGGAGATATGAGACAGCAGCTCTACCTACTGAGCCATTAAACAGCTCATTCTGCTGAAATCCTACCCTAACTTGTACTATGAAAATGTTTTTTTTTGTAGTGAATTGGAATGATTAATTATCAATCTATTAATATAATCATATAATTAATATATTAACATAATTCTGAACAATTTGAAAATCAACAAACAATTCACCTACTAAGTGAACACAATTAAGCACTTCTTAGGTCAAATATTTTCAACATTCTTCCCAAAACTGTATATTTAAACTTGCTGTGTCGGAGTCTTTTGGAAAAAGGCTGCGGGGAGTGGGCCCAGGGCACAGTAATAGCTTTGTAGTTTACTTCAGACTGTGTGAAAGAATGCCCCCCCCCCCCAACTCAGTTTGAGGTTTTCCAATTGACTGTCAGAAATGAGAAGTCCAAATGGTTTCTGTTAATGCAGCGGGTCAAGCGTAAGTGTCGGGCCGGGAATTCTGGGGGGATTCATGTGGCTTCTCTTCCGGTTCTGGATTGTCGTCAATAAATAGGGACTCTGGGACTATACAAATAGTTGTAGGTGCTGGTAAAAAGCGATGTGGATTTCCATAGGGAGGAATCGTCCACATCTGGACTCGATGAACGGGAGATCTTATAGTCTTAAACCTGGTGACCACATACTGAGCACACAAGCACAATGTTGTTTCTTTCCCAGCTTCCTTTATCAGCTACATAACACATCAGTAGGATGTGGGGGTTAAGGTTGGGAATTTAAAGCTGGTGGGAGGTTAGATCTGTGATGACCTTCAAGATAGCTCTGCTGAGAAATACTCATTAGACAGTATGAGATGGGGTCTCTTTGTCCCCCTAGAGCAGACTGGGGTCAGTATCCACTCGTGCTTCTTCTGTCTAAACTGCAACTGCTTATCCTGAGAAGGGTCATAGGGAGACTTGGAGCCTATCCCAGGCAGAACAGGACACAATGCATGGGGACACCCTGGACGGGGTGCTGGAGCCTCATATGGGTCTCACACGATCATACAATATGAGCAGTTTGGAGAAACCAGTGTACTTTACTGCATGTCTTTGGACTACAGAAGGGTTGAAAATACAGAACGGATACCCATACAAAGGCCACAGAGGCCGGATTTGAACCCCCAGCCACAGTAGTGTGGAGCAACAGTGTTGTTACACTAATGTATATATTTTATTATATTCCAGAGCCCAAGGATCAGTGCCCTGCCAAAGAAAGGACCATCCCCTCCTTGGCTGGTAAAGCCCTTCGGCTATTCCTGCATGCTGCCAATGCTGTTGTTTTGTTAATAATTTTCTAAGCAGGACACAAGCGCCTACCTCAGTGGGTAATTTGGAAACGGACGTGTTCTGGTTTCAGATGGAAAATGCTCTTGAGCAAGTTGCGTTTTTCTTTCGGTAGTTGGGCACTTCAGAATGGAAAAAGGTGATTACAGTTGATTGCTCCATAGCTGAGAGCCAGACACCAGGATGCCAGTCAGGAGGTGAAGTTAACTCCAGGGCCATCATAGGCTTAGCCAGGCAGAAGTGCCCTTTCACTGTGAAGGACTCAGCCATCTTCATAAAACAGACTTGTAAGCACTAATGTAATTTAATGATGGAGTCAGCTTTGCCTGGTGATGCTGGCAACTCAATACAGACTGTGACAATTTAGTTTCTGTTAATAGATAATTAAAGTTGATAGCTGTCCCTAGGTGATAGAAGAGAATGCTGTTAATGCATTGTAGAATCGTCTAGTATACGACATCTACATGATCTACATGTACGTCAAGCTAGAATAGAATGTAATATTCTATCTTGATAGAATCATGTGCACTCATGTCGTCCCTTTTGCCAATCAAATCGCATCCATGTAGATTCATGACTCTTTAATTAAGCTTTGATTGCTTGTTCGCCTGGTTTGTTTATTACGTACATGAAGTATGATGCCGGCTATTTTTGTTGCAGGCTGAAGTTGTGCTTCTAAGTGGTTTACATCTCTTTCAGCTGGACATGAAATACTTATCGCCGCTGTTGCTGGCATACGAAGACCAGCTGAACGAAAAGGATTCAATTCTGCAGAGCCATGTGGTGAGTGGTATTTAGCATCTTACAATCTCATATATTTTATGGAATTTGTAATGATTTGGGGGGGAACTTAAAGTTGCTGAAGGACATGTTTGTTCAGCTTTTATAGCAGTTCTGTGAGCATTTCAGCCTGGTGCAAGAGATATTTCAGCTGCTTTCAAGGCAGCAATATGCAGTTGACTTGAATTTATTTGTATGTCTTTAAGCTCATATCTGTTGGGAAGAGGTAGGCGTTCTGCAGCATTTGCAGAGTTTGCAGAGTTTGTTTTTTAAAGCTAGCTCCCAAACTGAAATGCTTTGTTGAACAGTCTCATCCCCAGCACCTGAAGATTGTAGCCCTCAGAATCTTTTGTGGTTTTGTTGTTGTTCTCACAAATTTGCGGCTTTACAGAGATGTACGTCATATTGAGCAATATTATTATGTGTCTGGGCAGGGCTGTTTACCACCAACAACCTGATTTTCTGCAGCGGAAGAATCACAGGCTTATCTATAGCAGTGGGAGATTTGGGGGTGGAAGGGTGTGTAGCAATAATACCAAAACATTCTGCCTGTCAAATTTCAAATTTATCTTCCTTCATCCTAACCCAAGGTTTTAATTGTGTACCTGTAAATTCTACCAGAAGCAAAGTCAGTCTTGTGTAGTGTTTTTGTATCTGAAACATATCTGCATGGGATTTTGATAAGTATCCTTCAAAATTCCTTTATAAATGTTGCAAAGATCTTATAGGTCATCTCTCTCTCTGGATTTTTTTAGGAGCCATGATAATTTAGCATCATCTCAAAAGAAACCTTATGAGCGTATATTTTAGAAGAAAAACTGATATTTTTGTGTATTGCTCCATTTGCTTATCAGTTTTGTGTCTGTTTACCGCTATGAAAAGCCATGTTTTCACCGCGTGGCTTTGTTCCCTTTAGGTACAGTTACTCCACTTACAGCAGCAGTTAAGTGAGCTGCCTGCCATGTGTGATTGTGTGCATGTATGAACACTGATTTAGTACAGGGACATGGTGAGGCTGGGGCCTGTCTGCGAGGCTGTGATGGAAGCAAGCTCTGCTTGAGGTGCTAGTCAGCGCCACTGCACTCTGTCTGTCTCTCTGCCCAGGAGGAGACGCGCAGGTTTAGGGAGCGGGTGGAGGAGGTGGTGCAGGAGAACGACAGCCTTCACCAGCAGCTGAGCAAAGCTGGGGGCACCTGCCAGAAAAAGTGGTGAGTGTGTGTGCGTGTGAGTGTGTGTGCGTGTGAGTGTGAGTGTGTGTGTGTGTGCGTGTGTGTGTGTGTGTGTGTGTGTGTGTGTGTGTGTGGGTTTGTGCATATTGCATTGTTGGGACCCCACAAGGGGAAGCACTGTGAATCAATCAAAAAACCCTTTTGTTTGGTTACTTATAGTCCAGGTTAGAACCAGGTAGACGTTAAGGTTGTCATTGTTGGGATTCGGTTTATGCTCATAGAAATGAATGGACGGTCCCCACAATGTATGCATGTGCGTGTTTGCGCCCTCTGCTAACATGCTGTGCCAATGAGCTCCTGTGTGCCAGCATCCATCGTTCCTGTAGGCCGTCATGTTTCTGCACTGCCTTCGATTGTTGTCTTTCACCGCCGGAATACCACATCCGGCAAACAAGCTGTTCCCAAATAAAGGGCAGCTGTTTCATAATAAAAACCACATGTGCTGTATTTCGGTGTTTAGTGTTTGTTACGGTCTGTGTGTGACAGTGTGGCATGCCTTTGAAGGTGACTGATGCCAGTTGATTCCAGGAAAACCCCCAAAATAACCATCTGCTGGCTGCTGTAATTTCTGTAGGCTGTGAATATTTCTCTATGAGAACAGCACAGCAAAATGCAAAGATTTTATTAGTTCAGCACCCTCTTGACTGAATCTTACAAGAGATGTACAATGCAGTGATCTCCACTAAATAAATATTCATGACAATTAATTGAAGCTCTTGAAGAGCCTCCTTTCAGGCCCCAAACATGAAGCTGCAAAGGGGCATGTTTTGTCTATATTTGTGCTGTGTTGTGAGCCCTGCTGTTTCATGGCTAATTGCACTCCCAGTAGGTTTAGTGACTTACAATGCAGTCAGCTGGTGCATGGTGATTTGTAATTTCTCATTTCAGCTTCTTATCCTGAACGAATCAGTCTTAGACGATATTTCACCTGAAGGAACTTTTCATCCTACGGAGCTCCTTAGGTGTCATGGTAGAAAAAAATATTATGTCTTAGTAATTTCTGCTCTCAAGTTAGTAATTCATGCTCTTGAGCTAGTAATTTGTTCCATCAGATTCATAAGTTGCATGCTCAAGTTAGTAATTTGCGCTCGAGTTAGTATTTCATGCTCTTCAGTTAGTAGTTTGTTCCATTAAAGTCAAATTTGTGCACTTGAGTTAGTAATGTGAGAGCACAAATTACTACTAGCTAATATTTTTTTCTACCATGACGCCTAAGGGACTCTGTATTATCCCAAATTCCTGATGAATGATTATTTTATTTGAGTAAAGCAGGTTAAGTATCTCCCACAAGGTTAAGGGCCCCACATGAGACGAGAACCTACAAGCTTGAAGTTCTGAGTGCCAGTCCTCAGCCACATGCTGGCTGTACACTTTGTTTTTTCATTTACGATTTGTGTGTTTTTCACCACTGCTGGGCATCTTCTCTGCTTCATGGGAAACTATGATTTGCATTTTTCTGCTTAGCATAATAGTTGTAAAATACTTATAAAACCAGAATGATCATTTTAAGAAAAACCTAGATGGCCTTTAGCTGAAATGTACTTAAATTTTTCTGTTGTGGATTCATTGGGTCAGGGGCATAGGTAACGATGAATGGATAGGGGGGGCTGAGTCTTCACTGGGGAGGCTGATGGAAAATTATTCATGACATAAGCCAATAAATACACATTTGTTTGGAGGGGCTAAAAAACATTTTAGGTGGGCTAAACCCCCCTTGAAATAGGCCTGACGATGCCCCTGATTTGGGTATTAGTCTTTCATTTCATATTTGATGACATGAATTTCCATGCCAGAAGAGAAATCCTTTAGGGAATTTCTTTCTCTAAAGATTCACAACAAATGAATAATTGGTGGTCCGGTTAGAAGAAAAAGCTTTTAGCTTTGCATGAGAAGTCAAAATTATAATACAGCAAAGCGTTATGTCTAGTAAACATCTAGTACATTGAATTAATTAACAGTTGTTAAAAATTACCAGCAGCTAACTAAATAATTTAATTGGTCTTCAGCCACACTAGGAATTCAGAGTGGCAAAGATTTGGGAGGAGGAAGTTCACAGAAGGAAAATGGCTTCCGCCTGCAGTGTAGGATGTTGAAGGCCACATCTCATGTACTTAAGGAGGGGCCATTAATATTAAAAGGTGTTGCATAATTCACTGTGGTATTTTAGAAGTGCCTCAAAAATTAGATGTCTACGGTCTGGATTAAAGGCCACTGCGATGTGCCCACTGGGCCTTAAAGTCTTCTGGACTGTCTGATTGGATGTGGTGTTATGCAGGGAGGTCACATGATAGAGAGATGTTTAGTGCTTTACAGTCTAGAGCAGGGTTTTCCAATCTGGTCCTTGGGGGGATCAGTCCACTTTTTTGTTCTCTCCCACCTCCTGGTAGGGAGCGAAAACGTGGACTGTCTGGCAGGGAGCTCGGAAGGAGCGAAAACGTGGACTGTCGGGCAGGGAGCTCGGAAGGAGCGAAAACGTGGACTGTCGGGCAGGGAGCTCGGAAGGAGCGAAAACGTGGACTGTATGGCAGGGAGCTCGGGAGGAGCGAAAACGTGGACTGTCTGGCAGGGAGTTCGGGAGGAGCGAAAACGTGGACTGTCTGGCAGGGAGCTCGGGAGGAGCGAAAACGTGGACTGTCTGGCGGTCCATAAGGCCCAGGTTGGGGAAACGCTGGTCTAGAGATTGAAGCCGCCATCCTTTTTCTGCATGCCAGATTTATATGCTCTTTTTTTTAGGCACCCAAACAGCGAGAAGGTAACTGTAATTTATTTAGAGTTCTGGAGCAAAGCAAGGTGTACCAAAGGACTTCTGTGTGTGTCACATGTTTGTGGGTCTCCTAGGCGCCAGCTGCAGGATCAGGCCAAGCTGGTTCTGAAGGAGAACCAACTGCTGATGCAGCAGCTGGAGGTGCAGCAGATCAAAGCCAAGGAGAGCCACAATCGGCACCAACAGGAAGGTACAGCTCATTAACAGTGGGTTTGGGATCAGGTTACCCCCTCATGGGAACCAACTGTGACCAGCAGAGTTAAATGAATGTACTGATCTGTAATCAGTTTGTAAGTGTGTAATAAGTGCAGGCTCCTGGGAATGAATGTGGATGATTTGCACTAAGCTGTTAGGACTGCCTCAGCTTCATGATTCCATTTTAAAATAGTTAACAGCCCATGATATGACAGGGCTGAGTGTACATAGTTCTAAAGCCTGAGTTCCATCCACTTGCTCAGTATCCAAAGTGACCAAGGAGGTGATGCTGCTGGAGGCAGAGAAGCAGTGCTTGCAGGAGGAGCTGGAGAAGACACGTTCAGAGCTGCAGCTTCTTCAGACGCAGCACCGGCAAAACCTGTCCACACTGGAGAGCGCAGTGAGTCAGGAGGAACACGCTGCCCTGGTCGGCAAACTCCATCGGTGGGTGTCCACTCTGTCTGCTTCAGCCAATCAGAGATCATGCGTATTTTACCGTGCATTACACTTCAGAAACCCCTATAAGTATACAAATAATTCACTATATCTGTCAAATGGAAACCACATATGTCTACTTTTTGACAATTCGGATCTTTACTATAGATTGAATACAGCCATTCTTCTCTGTCTACTGACAGCGTTTTACATCTAATTGATTAATGAAAAGATGTTTTATGAAGTTATATATTTAATTAGTATTTGTACTACTGAACATTGGTATTCATTATGGTCATTTTTTAAGGGTTGTTTTTCATCGATAATTTCGACAACTTAGAGTTGAGAGCTAGCTGACCAATATCATTGTTAATTATGAAATTAAAGCAAGGTTACTTTGTATCCTGTTGACATTGACACTTGCCTCACTGACAACAGTCCACATAAGTTCATTTAAAACATTAAACCGTTAAACTGACAGCTGTTTTTGTGTTTCTGTTTGCGGTGCTAAGGGTATCTCATTAAGTTGTTTTATGTGTATTTTGTAAAGGTGTTTCTGAGAATTTTTTCATTCTCCTGAAATAATGGATTTTTGGAGATGCTTGTTTATCATTGGACTTAGACGATACAGTCTGAGGTGGGTGGAGACATGTCTGCATTCGAGTATGAATTCCACCTGTGTGAAGCACTGTTTCCCAGAATGGTCCATTACGTACTACATACATACATAGTATCTGGTGTCGTTTGGCCCAGTCACTCTGCTTGTTTTGTCTCAGCCTTCTGTTGTTCTTTTGTTATTTGACTGCCAGTAACCTTCATGTTAAGTAGACCAGTGACAAGCTATCAGTGAGCACACAAATTTATGGGACCTACTGTATGTCCTATCCCACTGTATGTCCTATCCCACTGTATGTCCAATCCCACTGTATGTCCTATCCCACTGTATGTCCTATCCTACTGAATGTCGTATCCCAAAATGCCGGATAATGCTCTCTGCATTTTACCCAAGTGTCCTTGTGTCATTGCCACTAATGACATGTTGTTCTGTCATGTTACTCAGACCTGAATGTCACCCATAAAATATTGTCTTAATAAATTTTCACCCACACTAGTCCTTCATGAGAGAGCAGCTTTTATCTCAGTGAAATCAAGCAAAACAGAGGAGCACCAAAGGTTCATTCTGAACACTTTATGTAGCGATTCTTGTGTAGGTTGTCTGTGTGAAAGTTTTGATCTAACAACTGATTTAAAATTGATGTGAAAGGATTGGGAGGTACTTCTGCACTAGGGTTTTGTATAGAAACAACAGATTGAGAAAGAGCGTAAAAGATAAAGGAGGTTGGGCTGCTGTAGCCCAGGGGTCTCCGACTCTGGTCCCGGAGAGCTACTGTCCAGCAGGTTTTATATTCTACCTGGAATATAATATCCCCAGGACTGGAACTGGAGACCCAGGCTTTAATCAATCAGTTTTATGATGCATTGTAAATATCGTGCAATTTACACCTAAAGTAGCGGAGAATGTACCACAAAACAAGCAGGATCACTAAAGCAGGCAAGCGCAGAACTAGAAGTAAAAGATAAGCAGATAACATTATGGGGACTGGCTTAGGTACAGAATAAGCGTCCCTCAATATGCGGTGTTGATGAAGATCTACAATGACCATGATATGCAGGTGAAGCACTCTGAAGGAGCGCTGTGACTGCAGTGTGGTCAATACCTGGGATTCAGCTGAGGGAAGCTGACAGTGTGACATTTTTTCATCCAGGTAGTTATTAAAAAGTCATTCAAAAGAGGATTCATTAAATTTGTATGGGGTACAGTGAGGGGATTTTTCACCGTCATCTTGCTCCTGATAGATGGGGCTTTTAAGGCAGAGGTGTAAGGGTTAGGGCCTGCTGATGCAGCCGTGGAGGCTCTGGAGGGTGGCTGTCTCAGTGATGGGTGTGAGATGCGTGGATCCATCCTCTTTATGTCGGTCTTTTTTAAATATTTTCTTGGTAGCAGTGTGATATGTTTTTGCTCTAGGCTGTCAGTGAATAGTCCTTGTTATTACTGGGCAGGACAATGTCATGAATTTCAGGTGTCTCCATTCCGAATGACAGGCATTGTCCTAAAGCAAATTGCCATTGGTCATTAAATTGTCAAGTGCTTTAGGGTGCCTCTGCATTATATGAAAATAAATTGAATTGGAAAAAAATTGAGTCATACTATGATGTCAAGAACGAACGTTACAGCTCAGCCCTTGCGAGCTGACATTTCTGGTAACAGTTTCTAGGAATGCTATGTTTATATGAATCAATGAACACATTCCTAATACCTTACATCATAGAAATGGCTTTAAATATTTATAAAAAGGCATAACACATTATATGTTTATTATGCATTATGAATGCTTCACGAAGCTCTCATCTATTGATACCTTCGTAAAGCAGTACAAACCATCCTTAATTCTTATACCGACCATTATAACGCATTATGAAGGTACCTATAGTGCATTATAGATGACAGCTTCAAGTATAGTGTTGCCACAGTATTTTTTTTTCCATTTGACCCATCATGAATTAATACCATTATTATTCTAACAGTGTTGTTTTCATTAATCAGTGCAATATAAATTGAGTAAAATCAGCCTTCTTGACTTTACTAAGCCTTATAAGCATAACGCCTGATTGTCTGAAACTGGTTTGTCTGTGTACTGTGTCCTCTGCTCTCATCACCTGTCCATTATACTGGTCTACAGGCTGCAGGAAACTCGCAGCTTGGTTGTTGGTGAGATGCAGTCCAGCCCGGCATCTCTCTTGCCCACCGTGTAAGCAGTGGGGGCTTGTTAATTGGGGTGCTGTTTGCTCTGCAGACAGCTGGAACAAGAGGAAGAGAAGAGGAGTAGTGAACTGGAGCAGCTGACAAGCAGAATGGCTTCTGTCCAGGAAGAGAAGACGTCTCTGCTGCTTGAGAAGAGCAGCCTGTTGGCTGAGATGAAGAACATGGAAACGGAACTGGAAGCACTGCACCAAGCTAACAGGTATGTCTAATGGCTTTCAGTCCTCCTCCTTTGGCCCTATTTACTACAGTTTCACACACTGTACATGTGCTTTGGAGTGATTTATGATAGTGTTTAAAAATAAGGGAACCACAGACATAGCAGTGGGCAGGCGCCTGTGATCAGAAAGTCACTGATTCAAACCCCAGGGACAGCAGAATGATTTCACCTTTTGGCCATTAAGCAAGGACTTTAACCCCCAATTGTTCCAGGTACTGTCAGATCCTGCTTTCTCAGTTGTACATCCCTTAGGGTAAAAGTGATCTTCCCAAGATACATTGTGTAAACCCATGACAGAAGGATTTTTTTTTAATCTCTGGATGGAGGCTTTGATGGTATTTCTTCCAGTGTAATTCCCAGACTATAATCATAGTATTATAATATCTGGGCAACTCAATGTGAAAACATGTCTTCTGCCCTGTTCTAACTGCTCTGAACCAGGAAATCTCAGAAGAAGATCTGTTTGCTGAAGGTGCAGGTAGAGGACTCCATGGATCGGGAGATGACAGCCCACCAGTACCTCACCAGCATCGTGGCCGCAGCTGAGAAGACCAAGCACGAGAGGGACCAGCTTGTGCACATGGTATGCCACCTTCCTAGCAGGTAACCTGTAACATCAGGACCTGAGGCTTGATTCAGAGTGAATCCTCCGCGTATTCCAGAGGAGCTGCTGTGGGGTATGTGTGTCGCTGTGTCCTCACCGCCTGTTCAGTTGGTAGGGAATTAGGAGACAATGAATATGAGCCATATTCTCCTGCCTTAGAAAATGAAAAACTAATAGCCTCCTTCTCGTCGTACTTTAAAGTCTTCTGGATGTTTGACAGAGCCACTTAGGTGTAGGTATGCAAGACTTGACTAGATGAAGCTGATGTTGCCCCAGCATTGTGCAAATAACCCTAGTTCTACTATCGTAGTACTATTCATGCACACTATGAGTAATTTAGAGACCCCGATTAGCCTGCTGGTCATTGGGCTGCAGGAAGAAGCCTATGGAACCCAAGGAGAACAGGAAAGCACAGAGTGGAGCTGGGATTCAAATCCCCATCTTTGGAGATGTGAGGGAACAGTCTACCCACTAAGTCACCTTGCCAACTCTACTGTGGAAAGTGGTACAGAAGCTGATTAAAGTCCTACAGCTGATCAACCAATATTTGTATTCTCTGGTGGCAGAGCAGCGGAAGCTTCTCAGCCTGTTACTTTAGTCAGATTTTCACCTGCGCTTCTAAACGCATTGGAAGCAGTGAAGTTGACGGTGTTCTCCGGTGAGAGCCGACTGTGGCGGCTTTATTAGGTCGTTCAGTCAGCCGTTTCCAGGGAAAATGAGCTAATTGGAATTGATTGACCGTGGTACAGCTTAGAGTGGGATTCCAGCTGGGAAGGTTTGACCATGGGCAGCGTAAATCACATGCCTGTTTACCTTTTTCAAGTACTGATAAGCACAGCACAGTAACAACCCATCATGCCTTGCAAGTGCCCAGGTACGGTACATGTGAGAATTCCTCAACTTGAACCAACAAAAGGGATCTACTTCTACCCCGAAATCTTTAGGCAGCATTACTGCCTCCCCGGCCGCCGCAGTCAGAAGAGCCCATTGTTGGGCTGGGCAGGGTCTCTTATTATTTTAATGCTTTGTCCTGGCACTGCTTCCTGTGGGCGGCCCGTGAGTTCAGCAGGTCACACTGTGCCATCCCATCGTCATAATATCACTGCAGTTAACGCATGTTTCTCTCTATGCTACTTCTTAAGGAATCATTCAATGATATCTGAACTTCAAAGCCTTTGAAGACTGTGTTCATTTTCATAAAGTGACTCTTCTTTTAATTACACACAATATGGCTTGCTTTTTATTTTTCTCATGCATAATTTTTTAATGAGGAAAAAAAACATGGAAAAATAACCAATCAGATTCAGAGCACTATTTGTTAGTTAGCATAAGAGGCACCTCCAACGTAGGAGAGTAACAGTGCTCTGTCATCACTCTTAAATTAATGGAGCTTATTAGGAAAATGAAGTTTTGCCAATAGCTCAGAAATTTACAAAAGAGAGGAGGTCATTCGGTCCATCAAGCTCGTTTGGGGGACCTTGTTTGGCAGAACCTACAAAACATTAAGCGATATCTTCTAAATGCTTTATAAGATTATGTTATTCTCTAAGTTTTATAGCTTTTTCCTTTTACATTCAGCACTTAAAATTTCACCAAAATGTCTCTTCAGCACTTTCTTGTAATATTGTTCACACATTTTTATGGCACTGAAGTACAGGCGGTCCCTGGGTCCCTTTCAGTGGGGTTAAGGTCAAGACTCTGTGGTGGCCAATTCATGTGTGAAAATGATTCCTCATGCTCCCTGAAGCACTCTATGACAATTTGAGCCCGATGAATCTTGGCGTTATCGTCCTGGAATATGCCCGTGCCATTAGGAAAGGAAAAACCCATTGCTGGGATACCCTGGTCATTCAGGAGATTCAGGTTCTCAGTTGACTTCACTTTATTGCTGCATAATGTTGCTGAGCTGTAATAATGATCCAATCATTGGCTCTTAAGTACTTGCTGGTTTAAACTAAAATCATGACTTCTTTTGGCCAGGCATTGTATTAAAAACTCGAGTTAAATACGATAGTATTTAAATACGATAGTTCGTAATATCGAACGCGTGCACTACTTTGTGACGCTCATGAAAACATTGTGTGGCTTCAGTGGTTCAACAGTTCAAGGTACAGTACAGTACTGTGTGTAGTTACTTTTATTATTACTATTATTAATAATATGTACTGTAGTATTATTTTTCGGACTTGCCTACAAATTAGACTTTAAGACAGATTTAGGGAACAGAGCGCGTTCGTAACCTGGGCACTGCCTGTAATGGAGTTGCATCATTCTGTAACAGCTTTATCAGTTTTTCCTGGATTTCTTTATTGGTTTTCCTTGATCACATATGAGCCAGTTCCTGTTTTGGAAAGTAGCGTAATAGCAGAACTGCCTGCATGATCTCACTCAGTTTTTTTTGAGCACCATGACAGTAGAATTTCCTTTTCTTACAAGGTTTTTTTTCTCTCCCTATGTAAATGTATTTATTCTACTTTTGCTGCATGTACTCAGGGGCCAGTGAGAGTTCTGCACCTTGCCTCTCTGCTCACAGACTGGCGTGTTACCAGGTCCCAGCGCTGCTCTGCTACTTTGAGGTTTCATAGGAAAGATGGATATGAACGATTTGGTCCTGCAAAGGCCTGGCTTTTCAGATGTGGTTCTGTCTTCCTGGTCTCAGATTTGAGATACTGGTATCATGGAAGGTTCAGTCTCAGGCTTTTTCAAATCATATTTTTCTAAAAGTATAACGTACTATTAGGCCATTTAGAGGTGGCGATGGTCAGGCTGCTTGCTGGCGTTTCATTCTGTATTGGCTGTATTGGGTGTTAGTCTCTCATGGCCTTCATTTCCGCTACAGCTCACTGCTGTGTAACAGATTAAGAAGATTAACATTACGGTGAGATGAGATGGGGCCATCGACCTTCACTTTTGCTCTAGGTGTGACCCATCACCAAAATAAGGCTGCGCTAAGCTGAATGGGCACAGCTGAAGAGCCATGACTCATCGGGGCCCGTTACCCACCCCCAGGCTTAAGCACAGTGGGAGAGCAGGATCGCTAAAACCCATTTCCCACGGCGAACCCCGAGTGCCTGCTGACTGTGATGCCAGTGGTCCCACTTTCACATAGTCACTAATGTCTCTAAGCTCTGGGCACTCCAGCTGCACGGCTGCATCTCGGAGCACGACTTTACACAGTTCATCTCTCTACGCCCACACATGGAAGGTGTAAGGGGATTTCCCAGAATGCCTTTCATGTCAGTTGCAATCCAGCATTGGGGTTGGTCTCATCTCTGGAATAAAGATGGCGCCTTCCTGGAGAAATATTCTTGTGGCTTCCATAGTTGTGTATACCTATGTTTTATTTCATGCATCTGGAGAGCCTTAATTTCATATTTTATGTTATAAAGTTGTATTTCTGACAATCCTAAGCCCTCCATACCATGACTTCCTCAATTAATAATTCAAATCAGCTTCAGAGATGAACAGCATTTTTAATTCTTTTTAAAGTAATTTACTTGACATGCATGTTTTATACTAGCTGTCAGTATATATTCATATTTGTTCAGAACCAAATGGTCTAACTAGAGAAAATCAGGAAAATGAGCTTCTTCACTGTGTCAGACATCAAGATGTCCTAGTGCTGAATAGACATCAGATTCCCCCAGTATATACATGAACACATTCAGTCTAATTTTCATTATCCTATTGCCAGATTGTACATTATGATGAAGGTATTTTGGTATCTAATTTTGAAATCCCTTCAATTCAAATTTATTTGTATAGCACGTTTTCACAACATTACATTGTCTCAAAGTGCTTTACATTATCCTGCCCAAAACCCCCAATGAGCGAGGTGACAGTGGCAAGGAAAAACTCCCTAGAAGGAAGAAACCTTGGGAGGAACCAGACATAATTTTGAAGCACATTTACTGTCTCTGACAGATGTGCTGGCTTTGTCGCACTGTTTTATTCACTGTATAATAGAGAAATATATCAGTAACTCACAGAGGTACTTGTAATGCACAGGATGAGAATGGCTGATTATGTATCTGTGTTCATGCTCTTTGTTGTTAAATGCACTTACTATCTTTTGTTGAAAAAAGCATCTGGCAAGTAAACAAATGCAGCATGAAGGTAATTCATGCCAAATAGTGGAGATTTTAATCAGTGAGAGGACTGCTTCACTCCTTGAGGGTTTTCAGTAAAAGACAACCAGTCTAAACCACTTGAATGGACTTTTATGATGGATTGACTTGTTTTTAATGATTTTATGGTCCTGTTCAGTGGAGGGAGCAAAAACATGGACCGTCTGGGGTTGAGAAACACGGGTCTTGTTCATGATACTCAAGCGGCTTTCTGAAGGACAAAGAAACCAGTGCCGTGAGTGTGGTGGGAACACGATTAAGGCTCCTTCCCCCCTGTTTCTCCCACTGCCCTGACCTCCCGGATCACATAAGCCCTCCTGTGCCCTTTTTGCTGCAGGCCTCCATCCTGGAGCAAGACAAGCAGGGAGTGCTGACCAGGGTCATCAAGGGCACCATGCGTCTGGGAAAGCTCCAGGAAAAGGTGAAGGTAAGGCCAGGCAGACTAAGCTGGGGGGCGTCAGCCAATGGGGAGCTGGCTAATGACACGCACAGAGTCAGGTGATAAAGCTGTTTGAATGTGAGACATGTTGAACATATTCCCTAGGCTCATTCCATAGGCTCATTCCCTAGGCTCATTCCATAGGCTCATTCCCTAGGCTTTTTATTGGGTGTTCTTGTTTGCTTACTTTTGAGAAAAATTGAGCCATTATTTACATTTCATGTTTAATGTCTTAATTTAATCTGTGGATTCTATTATCCTGGCGACCAAAACCAAATTAATCAGTGAACAAATATCAGATGAAAATCTTTTTAAAGTTGGCATCTGTCCATGAATCTGTTATCTATATTTCATCTACATTTCAATGGGCAATCCTCAGACTGACCTCAGCTCAGTGATGATGACTTAAATTGGAAGTAATTCAATGTGTCGTATTTTTTCCACAATAATGAAGTAATAAATAATAAAATAATGAAATTCCAATAATAAAATTCCTTATAACTAATGTTCATGAGGGAAGCAATTGTCTTGGTGTAACTTAATATGTGAATGTAAGGCAGGGAAAAGTGAAAAAGTGGAGGTAAATTCATGCTAGGCAACAATACAGGCACTCTGCCAAAGCCATGAAGGAAGTTCATGTTTATGCAAATCTCAGATGTTAAAGCTTTACAAACAGCAAAGTGTTCTGACCCCCTAATCTGCAAACTCACATCTGCTCCTGTCTGGTACTGTGCACTCGCATCACTTGGCAACAGTGGTGCTGTGTTGTTCAGTTTGGATCTCTTGATGTTGTCCAGCAGGTATTCTGGAGGACAGTAACATGTAAGGGCCTTTTCCTTCTGTGTGAGGTAATCTCAGTTTAGTTGCCATGAACAGGGGCTGCTGTGCTTAACCATGAAGCTCTCCCTTCATTTATATGTGGAACCTTGAGCCAGGAACAAACCTTAGTTTATGATAAGAGTCCAATGACAAGATTGGACACCAATGAACATGCCAGTCGACAAGGGAACCAGAAAGGCCCTGCTGAATGCCGAGGGCTGCATTAGCCATGACAGCGTCAGTGTATACAATCAGTCACATGGCTACATCCCCCGGCTCCTCTGCTTGCCTTTAGGCCATTGAGTGAAACTGAGGAGATGGACAGCAGTAGATTTTCTGGTAACACTTTACTTGAGGGGGCACAAAAAATATAGCATTATGTGATTACTTATGTATTAATTAACCGCAATAGTCTTGGTTACATACTGATCTCATGTTTGTTCATCATTAATGAATTTTGACGCATTTTTTATCGCAAATAGTTACTATATTCATGCAGGTTATTTTAGAGGATCACACCTGTGGCCTGTTGGGACTTTAACGTTTGAGGTGTGAAACCACTTTGCGGTCAGTTCAAAGCCAGTGGATGGTGGTGCTGTTTTAATTTGACCAGTAAGTACTGTAGACACTCCCAGAGCATGGATATAGCTGGAGGATCAGCAGGTCCAGCCTGATGTTCTCCCAGGGATCCTTCAGCACCAGCCTTAATGTAGGAGTTTCCTTCATGCTGGCATGCGCATGCACATGGGGGGGGGGGGGGGGTTGGACAAACCATTTTTATCGTGTGAAATGCATATTGTGAAGACCCTAATGATCAGAAAGACACATCATAAATGTAGGTGGATACTACAGGTTCTTAGCATTCAGTGCCCCTAACTTGGTAAATGTCAGGAAATGCCAGCATTCTGCTGCAGCTTTAAGAATGACAGTCTGTAGCATTTGTGTGCTTTGGGCCTGTTTTTTTGGTTTGACCTTTCTGATTGGTTTCTTTCACTGTTCAGGTATTACATCTCAGCATTGTACTGTTGCTCAATTACAAAGTATTTTCTCATGGAGTTTGACTCGAGGTTCCCTTGAGTATCACCAGAAATGATCACTCGTATCACTGGGCAGGTAATTATGTGCCTCCTCCTTAAACAGTCCTGTGCTGATTTACAATGCTAGCAGTTTCTCACAGTACCTTCATGTGGAGTAGAGTGGCCATCTGTATCATTTCTGAGTTTTCACTCTCTAACTTTTTGTGTTTTTACAGACAAGGGTAAGGCTTTACATTAAGTGCACCTTCATAATGCATTCATTATGCATTTATAGAACATTCAGTTCACCTTCATAATGCATTCATAGAACATTCATAAGCAGCATGCAAGTACACCTTAACATCCTAATATCCTTTAACAGTTTTAATATACATTAACAAACATTACATGGTTATACAATTATAATGTTTGTTATTATTATATAATGTTTGATATTAATGTATATTACAGCTGTTAAGGGGTGTTAAGATACATGATGTTTATGAACGTTTTATGAATGCAATATAAAAGCATTATAAAGGTGCAGTTAAAGTAAAGCGTTACCCAGACAAGCATTTCCACTGCTCACTTCTTTGTCACTCACTATGTTTACATACACAGCTAAGTCGAGCTTCAGTTATAGCTCGACTACGCCATTTAATCGGACCACTGTCCTTGTCCCACTATACATGCACGGGAGGGGAATCGATTTATTACACATGCAGAAGTAAATTGACTCTCATTATCTGGGTGTCTTAATCTGACTTTGAGAAATTCGGTTTAGTGCGATTTCAGTCAAGCTAACATGTTTACATGTACTTTAAAAGTGCAGTTTTAGTTGGACTAACACAATAATTTGATTTCCTTCGTGTGCATCTAAACTTAGTGACTGCCACCCCCAAGTGTGACCAGCATGGCTGTGAATATGTTTGTCCTTCACTGGAGAAAATATTTTCCTTTGTTGTTGATTTTGCTCTTGTAGATGCTCATTCATTAATACTCATATTCATTAATACTCACCTCAAGCATATCCATAATACAATATACAGGCCAGCCACAATATACTGTATGAATGTCTTTTTACACCTAAATGATGCTTCTGCCTCATTCACTTGCTTAGGTCTAAATCAAGTGCTGACTTACATTTGTATATTATAATGACACACTCACACATTCATGCTACAGAACCTCATGATACTCAAGTATGTTATGCATTGAAGTGCAGGAATTCCACTTAGCAGCAGCTCTGAAGCCTAACATGGTAGCCGTATCCTTCACATTCTGTCATTGAATTTTCTTTTTTTCAGTCCTTTTCTCAATGAACTTCATACACCGATCAGCCGTAGCATTAAATCATGATGGCTCTAATGACATCTTTGCACTATGAACACATGATGGAGAACTGGCAAATCCCCTCTCTTAACTAACTTTTCTAGAAAAGAAGAGCTCCTTTTAGGATTGGCTGTGAACTAGAGGGAGGTTTAAGAATGATTCTTGGATCGTTAGTTTTTAATGAGAGAGTTAAGTTTTACGGCAGAGAAATTTAGTCTGGTACCACTGGTGGGCAACAGGGTCAAATGCAACGTGACTCGCGACTTTATCGTAATTTAGACAGGCTAACTGGGGGTTACTTAGAATCCTGCTCTCTTCATAATACTGTAGCATTATTTAGCAAAAATGGATTGCAGTTTGGAATTGTTGAGACAATGCATACCCTATGAACTGTGGGGCACCATGCAGTTCATGCCTGTCATCTCTTTCTGCATTACTATGAATATAAATTTACAGCCTTACATCCTGTTACGCCAGTTTGTTAAACTTCACACATAATTTCATACAAAGCAATGGAGGATGGGCAAGTCGTTTTGTTAGCTATCTGTTAGTTATTTGAGGGAATTGATCCCCCTAAAAACAGGACACTGTCATTTATATATTTTTTATACAAAGCACAACATGCTTATGATTCATTATTAAAACTAGCCATAAGATCGGTCTTTCCTTTTCCATAGAAAAAACAAATGATGTAACGTTCTTCTGCTAATAAACACTGACAAATTTCCACCACCGTTACTGGGGGGGTGGGGGAGTTGGGGGAGTGCAGGTGAGGTGATGAGGGGCAGAATTCAGTAGCCAGCTCTACATATACAATTAACCATTTGGAAGGTCAAGTCATCAGCTAACCACTGTGGTCAGGCAGGTTCCTGAAAACATCCATCTAAAAGCTGTATTCGGACTATTGTGGGTGTTTACAGGTCCGGAAAGCAAAGCTCTGCTGGTATCCAGTCGCCTGCACCAAACAGCAGGTTTCAGGGTGTTTTACTTTGTCCAGATACTCCTGGATGCACCACTTTTCACACAATGGGAGTTGTTGCATTTCCTGATACTGTTGTAAAAACACTCTCATTCTTCTGCTCCGTTGTTTTCATTTCCCTCTGGAACAAGTTCTTATTTTTGTAAATGGTCACTACCAGCCCTCAGGGTGTGTTGTTAGTGTTTTGTTGGTATCCGTTGGTTCCCATCTGCTGCTGTCAGCCCAGCCAGAAGCACTTCCACCAACCCCTGCATCTCCTCATTGTCTCCTGATGACTAATTAGAGGCAACAGATGTGGCTAGGGCATACAGTGTAAATAAAGGAAGGAAGTCTTGGGTGTGCAAAGGGAGTGGTGTTTATGATGATGCGTTAAGAGGGTGGAGCATTTTGGGTGATGTGTCCTATTCAGAACAAGGGCATATCAAATTCAGACCAGTCCTTGGCTTCTCTTCTGTGTCGCAGCATGCAAATATGCTAGTTCTTCATTTAGCATTTGCTCTCTGGAGGCCTTCAATGACGTCCCGCAGGAACGCGGGACTCTTACCACAAGCCTTTTCAAGGAACTGCTATCGAGGAGCGTTCTTGGAAGACTAATTACACAGTTGGGCTTGGGAGTGAAGTCAGAGAGCATGGAAGGATGAAGTGCTTTCAGGGGTTAGGGTTTCGGTGTATTTGGTGCCAATAGCACCTAACGGAAACGGTGAACGTATCTGGAACGCGTCTTGTGTATAGTCAAGCCTTCACTTCTGTAAACAGTACTAAATTCGCACCTATCCATGTCTCAGATCTCTCTAGGCATATGGAGACTTGGAAGAAACTGATGCCTTGTATAAATATTTTAAATATTACTATATTAGCATAATCGAGAGCTTGTGTTGCATGCAAAATTTGTCTCCTCCCACTCCCATCTAAAGAGGCCTGCTCCTGTATAATTTCACCCTGAAATTAAGTATTTTCTGTTGTATTTCAGACTAGTTTTTATGGCCATGACTCCTGTCTGTACTGTGCTGAATCTAGCATAGCTCCTTGATGCGATGAAGATATATCCTTCAATGGTGTTTTAGAACAGCAGGGGTTTTACCCATAAGCCTGGAAGCCTCATTTGTGTGTGTGGGGACCTAAGACAGAATAAGTTCAAGGTCTGTAGGCTTTTATCTGGCATTCTGTATATATAGGTTGCTCTCCCACAAACCATCAGGTTCAGTCACAGGAGGTTCCCTGGTGTTGCCACTGCCATCAGGTGCAAGGGTCTCCATGGCAACAGGCCAATGCAGAGGGTCCATAAAGAACGCCGTGATTAGTGGAGCATTCCGAATGATGTGACATTCAGAGGCTTGTGATAAATGTCTGAAGAAAAATCCTGACCCATGGGTCAGAATGGGATCAAAATGGGAGTGAGAGAAAAGTGGGACAACATAATACACAAAATTACATATTTCCCAACTCTCAAATTTCTGTATTGTTCATTTCAAACTATCCTGTAAGTCCTAGAAAAATAACTGCAGATTCCATGTCTGTAAATAAGGGACTGTCATGACTGTATTCTGTTTTCTTTTATAGAAAACAACAGTGCAGTATCACTGGAAACGATTAGATTACTTGGACTTTGACGAAATGGAAAACATTTCACGTATGGTTTAGGAAGGGAAGTCGTATAGGTGTGATTATAAATAATAATTCACCAAGGCTGATTGGATTCCATAATGGCATCGCCTATGGGTACCATTTCCCCATGTCACGCCACCACTGAATTAAAAAACTGTTGTTAGGAATTCCATCAATGGCAAAGTCGATGAATACGCTAATTATTTCGTTACGAACAATGTTCCTATGAATTAACATGGAAAATAACATGGAAACAGGGGACTGTTCTGCCGTAATGAAATGGATCAGCCTTGGGGTCCTGCTTTAGTGCCCCCCCCCAAAAAAACTGATGGCACAGGTGACCTGTGGAGGGGAATCTGTGGAGGACAATGTAGAGCAAATTCTAAGGGTGCTGTCATGTGAAATTCCTCTTTATTTTCATGTATTCCAAATATGACCACAGCACAAATTCGTTCAGAATATATAATTATATTTAATCAAAAGATGTAGGCAAATCATTAATGGTTTCACTCTTTATTAGCTGGGGGAAATATTTTTATCACAAAGAACCCTCTGCACTGGAATGTGTTGGTATTGTGGACAAAGAAAAATGTGTTGTTTTTTTTTGTTGTAGATAACTCTGAATAACTTGAGTATTTTTTCATAAAGTGAAAATTGTATTGTTAGTATAATAATAATAATAATAATAATAAAAAATAAATATTTAGTATATTATTCGTATTTTAATTACACTGATGGTTTAGTGGACATTAAGTTCTATATAATTTTTTGTGCTTGTGTGTTTACGCTAGAAAAACAGATTTCCCGCGTTAAAAGCATTATAAGATTAGGTCTTATTTTATGAATTTACATGTTTGTTCCTCCCAGTTTATGTGCTCTAGCATGTAGTGAGTTTTGCTGTGTTATGATGTTTTGTGTGATTGACCTTCCTGGTCCCATACAGCCGCATTTATGAATGGAAATAAGTACAAACTTGTGATTCCAAGGAAATCAATGAAGCTCCATGAGATTAGCTTTGGTTCAGGTTGCCAGACCATATGTTTAATTGCTCTTACCTAATTAAAAAAGCAGAACATTAAAAAATGCACACAGATAGTAGTATCGCTTATAAATTCTAATTGATCTCGGCTCTGACGGTTGACACCTAACATTCAGAAATGTCTGTAATCCTGGTACATGAATCACATCTGTTGATTTACCGTAAATGTGAGTTTCTTCAGATAAGTCACTATTTAGAACAGCGACACACAGATGTCCGTAAGGGTGCCCCCATTAGCATGAATTTTACCCCACATCATATAAGAGCTATTTCATTTTAAATAAACAACTGCTAAATATTTTATTTTATTTTGGGGATATGGAAATTACAGGTAGAGTTATCCAGTTAAGGATGGTGAAAAGTTTGGATTTGAAATCTTTTGGGTGATTTTGTAGTCATACCTAAACACTTTGGAATCGATCTGCAAGATTTCTATAAATCTAAGAAGAAGTAGAAGTAGATGTCGAGGCACACATCACTCCTAGGATAAAGAATAGAACTGTACCTCTCCCAGGTGTGAGTACAAATACTAAAGTACCTCTTGCCAGATTACAATACTCTCAAACTGCACTCAGTGTTGCAATTCTAGGACCACAGTGATTTCTGACATGTTCCTTGTTCTGGGAAACAATTGGAAATGATGAGAGTACCCTCATAGCTTTGGAGTACCACGGCTAGGAATGGGTCACTAGTCCTGTTGGTCCCGTGGCTAATCAGCCCGGCTTCAGCTTCTGGAGGAGCAGTCACACATGCCTTGGCATAAACACTGACAGAAGCCGTACACTAGGCACACAGTCAGGCTGGAGGGCACCAGGCTCACACACACTATTCCCATCGTCACTCTCTGGATCACTAGCAGGTAGATCCCCAGCGGCAGCGAGCCGAAGTAGAAGAATCCCAGCAGCCAGACCAGTATCCTGGGCACGTGGTTGCAGAATTTGGAGACATTGCCCTGGCTTATGGGGCTGTTGGAGCCAACCGACACGGAATCCAGGCTCTGCTCTGTGTAGTAGTCCGAGCTGTCGTGCCGGCTGGGTGAGCGCTGTAGGTCTTGCGGCACCTCCATGATGGTGACAACCAGGCAGTTGGAGGAGTCATGGGAGGGACTGGAGGAGGACAGGTTCTTTGGGGTCAGCACCACCTCTTGGCTGTCTGAGCTCCAGGACTTGTCCTTGGTGACCAACCTGGTCATGATGTTTGAGTCGTCGGGCAGGCCAGCCACCTCGTATTCCGCGACCTCTGTCTCATGACGGCAGAAGGGGCAGCTGACGAATTGGGAGCCGTCCCCGATGTCTAAGATCTTGTTGAGGCAGCGGGTGCAGACCCTGTGGAGACAGTCCAGTATCTTGGGCCGGCGGCTGTGTGCGTTGTACCGCTGGTAGCAGATTTTACACTCCAGCTCATCGGTGCCAGACCTTTCCTCAGGTCCTTGCTGGCTGCAGCCCATCTTCACTTCATTGTCTGCTGGAAGACGAAGAGAAGGGCTTGGTCAGACCTCAGAGTGATGGCAGGGTTTCTCTAAGAGTCAAAAGGGGCCCAGCAAAGTAATATGACTTTTACTGATGTTATCTTAATTTGTATTTATAAATGTGAGTTTTATCATTGGTTCAAGGCCTTATTTATAGACTTGAAGGATATATTTGCTACATTGCCACCCTATGGAATGTGCAACATAATAGAGGACTCTGTCACTGATCATGTTAATGCACCACCCTTCATTCCACCCTTCATTCTAATTTGCTGTTTGCTCATACTTGGGATGTTTCATTTCTCCAGTGTGACTTTGGTGGTGTCTTTCAGCCTCCTGCTGCCAACGGTCTGATAACTAGCTTGCTCCTTTGGCTTTGCCCGTATGACATGCCCTTTTCCAAATGCCAGATGATGATCTGCGCGTGAATCCCATTGCCTGTTGTGTGGCTTTTCATCTTTCACCAAATTTGCTGTATTCCACTACTTTGTTTACCTGCCTTCAAAGGTATAATTAGCATTGTCATTATGCACTTGTTAATTGAATTGCAGATATTATGTTGATTATAAAGCTTGTTTATTTATATGTATTTTTTATTACTGTGACAGGTGCCAACGCAATGTGTGCCTGTAGTATAATGGCAAGGAATTAGTACTGAAATAGGACACTGATCTATATTAAGAGGGATAAATGTGGATTACCATAAACCTGCCTGAACTGGAGAACCACCAAGTCTTTAAGATCCCTGAAACAACTCTTTGGATGGATATTGACCTAGAAGCCATTTTTGCTATAATTTCTCAGAAGTTGGTTGCATAGTACCCTTTCTAATGTCGTGTCCATCGTTTCTTAACAAAAAAATATTTTTTTGGTGTATGGGCAGCATGGTGGCACATTGGTTAGCACTGTTGCGTCACACCTGTAGGACCAGGGTTCGAGTCTCTGCCCTGGCTCCGTGTGTTCTCCCCGGCCATCGTGTGAGTGTGCCCTGCTATTGGCTGGCACCCCATCCTGGGTTGTTCTCTGCCTTGTGCCCGTAGCCTCTGGGACAGGCTCTGGACCCCTGTGGGGTACATTCCATGATCTAATTCAGTCCGGTGTCGTAACAAACTGAATCCATAGTTAGCCTCATTAATGGATTTTAATGTACTGGTTACAAAAGATTGAAATTTACACCTGTTTTTGTTTTTTTGTTTTTTTCCTAGTGTAACATGGGATAAATTGTTATGAAATTTAGCTATAACCCTTTCCATGCTGTAGCGATGTGTGGTGTTTCATGGACGCATGGTAGTTTGAGTAATGTACACATCACATCATGTCACATCACACAGAGTTTCATAGTGTGTTTACATGGAGCCTGATAAATGACTTCAGCAGACAGCAAGGCAGTGCCAGCAGAGCAGTGTTTGTAAGATACAGCCCCTGACCGCTCAGGTAGCAGGCGAAGGGCCCGGCAGGTGTTAAGCGACTAACCGGCAGCGCAAGCAGAGAAACATGGATCGTTGCTGCCTTTGACTTTCTCCAATTGAAGTGTGTAATGCAGACAAGTGGGATACAATTGGAGAAGCTGGCTATGTGACGGCAGGCATATCAGTGCAGCTGATTGTTCATCGAACCCACCAGATGAAACGTGGACAGGGTTTTTTAAAAGTGTGCTACGAAGACTCCAGGCTTTCATGTGGCTGCAGCTTCTCACGGTGCAACCGCAGCAACTGACTGAGAAAAGCAATTCTCATCTCAAACGTGCAGACGGTCTCAATTCTCATCTCAAACGTGCAGACTGTCTCAATTCTC